CAGCTCAAAGTGGCCAGGTTGAAAATCTGAATGGTTTCCTCCAATTTGTTTCAGGTAGTCCTTGGCTTACGACCAGTTCGAAGTTATGATGGACCCGTGGTGAAGACACCATGCCCAAAACTACGAGATGATGAGTTCTAATTCTGCCTTAGCCATGAAAGCCAGCTGGGTGACTTTGGGCCAATCACCAGGAGACAGTGAGTTCTAGTCCCGCCTTATGTATGAAAGTGAGCTGGGTGACTTTGGGCCAATCACCAGGAGATGGTGAGTTCTAGTCTCGCCTTAGGCATCAAAGCTAGCTGGGTGACTTTGGACCAATCACTAGAAGACTGGGAGTTCTAGTCCCGCCTTAGGCATGAAAGTCAGCTGGGTGACTGTCCTCCTCTCTCAGCCCAACCTACCTCGCAGGGTTGTGGTGTTGGGGAAACGAAGAGGAGGAGGAGGAAGGAACATTAGCTGTGTTTGCTACCTTGAGTTATAAACATAACAAAGGTGGGATACAAAATACAGGTAGTCCTCGACTTATAACCATTTGCTTAGTGACTGCTCAAAGCTACAACGGCACCGAAAAAAGTGACTTACGACCATGTGACTAATTTAACAACTGGTGCAACTCCTTTAACATCTGTGGCTGGAAAGGTCGTAGAACGGGGCAAAATTTCACCTAACAAAGGGAGTTTGGGGCTCCACTGTGGCCGTAAGTCAGGGACTGCCTGAAAATAAATTAAAAATAAACCTGGCCCCCCGTCCTGGAGACGGGACCCCAAAAATAAAACGGTAGGGCCATTCCTCTCTTCCCGCCTCCCCCCCCCCTTCTCCATTTTGCTTTCGGGACACCTTTGTTTTGATGGACAGAGGCGTTAAGCCAAGCTGGAAGTCCTTGCCTTCGCCTGGAGCCGAATCTTGGAGGCAGGATGGGTGGGGACCGGCTTGGAAAACTGGTCTTGGGACCAGTTGCAAGGCGGGTCCCACACCGGCAGGCGATGGAGAAGCCAAAACGGAGGTGGGTCAAACGGGGTGCAGCTCAGATCAGACACCAGCGACTTCGCCAACACAGCTGCTTTGGGTCCCCAAAAGGGCTTTAAACACAGCCAGGCTTTCTTTTTTGTTTTTGTTTTAACCATTCCTAGCAAACCATCGGGCTAACAGTGTTTTCTCAACTCTGGGAACTTTACTTCCCAGAATTCCCCTACTAGCTTAAGATGGGTGGACTTCCACTCCCAGAATTCCCAGCTGGCTTGATTTAAGATGGGTGGACTTCAACTCCCAGAATCCCCCAGCCAGCAAGTTTTAAGATGGGTGGACTTCAACTCCCAGAATTCCCAGCTAGCTTAAGATGGATGGACTTCAACTCCCAGAATTCCCAGCTAGCTTGATTTAAGATGGATGGACTTTAACTCCCAGAATTCCCAACCCAGCATGCTTTCAATTTATTTTATGGGGGGGAAATCAATTTAAGTGATAATAGGAGACCAGACATATTAAAGCAGGGGCTTCAAACTTGGCCCTTTTATGACTTGTGGACTTCAACTCCCACGTGTGCCTGGCTGAGGAATTCTGGGAGTTGAAGTCCACAGGTCATAAAAGAGCCAAGTTTGAAGACCCTTGTATTAAAGCATGCTGGCTGAGGAATTCTGGGAGTTGAAGTCCACCCATCTTAAATCTTGCCAAAGTTGAGAAACCTTTGACTAACTGCTACTCTCTTTCTGTGTTGTGTAAGCCAAGCCATCAAAGCTCAGGACACAAAGTACCTTTCCCCCGTGGCTTACTTACTTAACCGTAATTTGCTCCAGAAACTAACCCTGGCTAGATTGATGCAACTTGCTAAGCTGAAACGCCTGGTTAAATGGAGTTTAGTTTTGTTTGCTTTGCCGTAATCTCTTGGAGCTTTGTTTGATATTTTGGTCTTCCGGTGGATTGTGTTCTTTTGTGTGTTGTTGTTTTCCTTTAGTCCTCAGCCAGCCTGAGTCATTTAGGAGTTGGGTTGCGTGTTGTGGAGTTGTCACTGACAAGAAATGTTCCTGGCTGTCTCTCACACAGAGGGTAGATCCAGCGGTTTATATAACCTGGTTCTGCGGCTTCCGATTTGGAGGAATCTCACTCGGTGTAGCTTATTCCACAGACCACAATTAAGCCGAATTAAGATTCCTGGTGGGAAGATAGCCCTTTTACTGGCTTGAGTGGATGGGGCACTAGTACAGGCAGTCCCCAACGTACGACCACAATGGAGGCCCAAATTTATGTTGTTAAGTGAGAAATTTGTTAAGTGAGTTTTGCCCCATTCTATGACTTTTCTTGCCACATTTAAGTGAATTATTGCGGTTGTTCAGATAATAACACAGTTGTTAAGTGAATCCAGCTTGTCCCAGAATTCCCCAGCCAGCTTGATTTAAGACGGGTGGACTTCAGCTCCCAGAATTCCCCAGCCAGAACGCTTTAAGATGGGTGGACTTCAACTCCCAGAATTCCCCAGCCACGGGGAACATCTGTGCAGCCGAGCCTCAGTTCTGCATGCAGATTTTTGGGAAAACCGTTTTGCACGGAGCGAAGGTCCCGTTTGCCGCAAGAGCTGTGCCAGGCAGACGGGCTCCGGCTGATGATTAAAACCGGCGCAACGGCTGAAGGAGAAGTTGACTTGCAACGCCTCCTGGGCCCGGGTGCAGGTGACGACAGAACAAGCCGTGGCTTGCAGCAGTTTCGTTGCGTACAGCCTGCTAACAGTTCACAAAACCGTTTCACTTGCTTCAACCCTCCCCCCTCCTTCCCAATAACCCCAGGCACACAAGGGCTGTCCTGGCTCTAGCAGGCCGAGGTTTGCACTCTGCACATGCCCAGGCTGCCCTGGGAGAGTCTTTTCCGTTCCAGCAGGCCTACAAAGACATCTTTTTGAAAAAGTGTATAAAGTCAGGTCTGATTTTACGATCTTTTTTTTTTTTTTTGGTGTGTGCCACCGTTGTGAAGCCAATCACGGCAGTCATTAAGTGAATCATGAGGTCGTTAAGCGAACCCGGCTTCTCCCATTGACTTTGCTTGTCGGAAGTCTGCTGGAAAAAGGAATCACACGAGCCCAGGATGCAACTGTTAAATACATAACAGTTGCCAAGCGCCCAAATTTTGATCATGCAACTGTGGGGATGGTCGTAAGTGCGAGGAACAGCCGTAAGTTAACCTGTTTTCAGTGCCCTTATAACTTCAAACACTCTCTAAACCAGGGGTCTTCAAACTTGGCCCTTTTATGACTTGTGGACTTCAACTCTCAGAATTCCTCAGCCACGTCATAAAAGGGCCAAGTTTGAAGGACCCCCCCCCCCCGGCTCTAAACTAACATTTGTAAGTGAAGGACTGCCATCCAAGTCTAGGACATTAGGGTAACCCTGCCAGTTGTGGTCATTGGACAGACCACAGTTAAACAAGCAATCGTTTGCAATGTGCGGTTTCTGGGTTGCAAAGCCATTAAATTGCGTAATGAAATGTGATGGGCAAAGTCTGAAACAGAATAAAATATGGCAGAATATGCCAGCGAGAAATAAACAGAGGCGTGGCATTCAAAAAAGACACAAACTGGGAAGCCAATGAATTAAAGTGATTATTAAGGTTTTAGGCTAGCATAGAAATGACTCTGAAAGAAAGCTTCATACATACATTATGCTCTTTAATTTTTGTAGGAAAGCAAGGTTGCAAAATTGCTGATTAATATTTATATAACTCCACCTGAAATATGAGGTAAAGCAACCGAGCAGCACGTCGGTGTGGTTTTCTCAAAAACTCACAAAAGCAAGTTGTTACTTCTCTTCCGAAATGCTTTCTTAACCTTCCTAGCCCTGGCTTCTCCTGGTGATGCCATTTTTCTACTTAAAATCATTGCAAGCATCCCCATGATCACGTGATCAAAATTCAGACTTTTGGCAACCGGCTAATGGCTGTCCAGTCTCTTCTTTAAAAACTTCCAGGGTTGGAGCATTCACCGCTTCTGGAGGCAGGTTGTTCCACTGGTTAATTGTTCTAACTTGTCAGGAAGTTTCTCCTTAGTTCTAAGTTGCTTCTCTCCTTGATTAGTTTCCATCCGTTGCTTCTTCTCCTGCCTTCAGGCGCTTTGGAGAATAGCTTGACTCCCTCTTCTTTGGGGCAGCCCCTCAAATATTGGAACACTGCTATCATGTCCCCCCTCGTCCTTCTCTTCGTTAAACTAGACATACCCAATTCCAGCAACCGTTCCTTATATGCTTTAGCCTCCAGTCCCCTGATCATCCTTGTTGCTCTTCTCTGTACTTTTTCTAGAGTCTCAACATCTATTTTACATCGCGGTGACCAAAACTGGATGCCGTATTCCAAGTGTGGCCTCACCAAGGCCTTGTAAAGTGGTATTAACACTTCAGTGATCTTGATTCTATCCTTCTGTTAATGCAGCCCAGCATTGTGTTGGCTTTTTTTATAAACTCGGGTTAATGTTTAGTAGGGCGGCCTTCCTGCCACAAGCGATGCCTTTGCAAGCCAAGCAGGAACTGAGGCCGGGGGGAACCACTATTCTTTCTTTTTTTTTGTTCTGTTCTGTTCTGTTCTGTTCTTTTTAAATCCGAATTAACACCCGCCGGGCAAATCCGACTTGGCCGGCTCTTCGTTCCTCGCGCGCCCTCTGGCGGCCGCTGCGGGATCGCCACGAAAGGAACCCGGAAGCGGCGCCGGGCTGGAAAGCGAGCACCGGCGGCGACGGGGGCGGCCAAGTCGGGGCGGTGCGTGGCTTTTAGGGGCGGTGGGCGAGCAAAGCAGCCTGGCCTTGGTGCATCGGGCTCCCGGGAGGCGTCTGCGGGCCTCGGGGGTCTTCCCGGGCCGGGCGCTGCATTGCAAGGGCGAGCGCGGTGCTTGGAGATCCCCGGGGCGCGCGGATTTGCGCTCGGGGAGTCCCCGAGCCTGGGAGAGGTCCAGAGAAGCGGGGAATGGCTCTGAAGCCGGGAAGGGGGCTTGGGAAGGGGGCCAGGAGGTGCGGGGGGGGAGGCACCCTGGGCCTCCTATCGCCCCTTTGAGCCGTCCCCAAACCTGGTTTGCTTTTGCTTGGGAAGCTTTGGGCGCCCGCGGGCGCCCCTGACTCCCGCTGAACCCGGCGGGGCGCATGCGCGGACCTTCCGCGATCCATTTCCTCCCTTGAGTGGATCGTCCCTGCAAACAGATCCGAAACCGGGTTAAAGTAGGACAGGGGTCTTCAAACTTGGCTCTTTGATGACTTCTGGACTTCAATTCCCAGAATGCCTCAGGTGCCTGGCTGAGGAATTCTGGGAGTTGAAGTCCAAAAGTCATCAAACGGCCCAAGTTTGAAGACCCCTGAAGTAGGACCCAGCATCGCTGGGAGGGACCTCCAGTAGACCACCCGAGTGGGACCCTGGCATCGAATTGGGCTGGATCGGATCAAAACCGAGTACAGGTAGTGCTCGACTTAAGACCACCACTGAGCCTATCGTTTGTCGCTAAGCGGGACAGGGGTGGTCAAGCGACTGTTGCCCCGTTGTTACGATCTTTTTGGCAAACGGTTGTTATGTGAATCCTTGCAGTTGTTAAGTTAGTAACCCGGTTGTTAAGTGAATCCAGCTTCCCCATTGACCTTGCTTGTCAGAAGTGGCCCAAGGGGAGATGGCAACCGTCATAAGTACCAGTCAGTTGCCAAGCATCTGAATTTTGTTTGTATGTCCATGGGGAGGCTGCAACGGTCATTAAGTGTGAAAAGGAGCCCTAAGTCACTTCCCCCAGGGTGTTGTAACTTCGGTCGCTAAACGAATGGATGTAAATCGAGAACTATCCGTAGTGGTGAATTTGATTGTGTTGGTGACGGTACTTTGAGCATAACAATATCCGATTTTTTTCATGTGTTTCTCCCAGGTTTCGCTATGGGGTCACGAGGGGGAGAGCCCTGGGCTGCCACCATTGAGGCTTTCCGCCTGTCCCCCACGGCCTTCCTCTTATCCCACGGGACCGGAGACACCTTTGGGGCTGACCTGTTGAATGAACTACGGAGCGAAAGGCTGGGGGAAGCAGTCAAGGTATATATATATATATATATATATATATATATATATATATATATATATATATACACGCCCTCTTTTTCGGTTACAAAAGATAGCAACTTTAGGAGGGTGGACTTCAGCTCCCGGAATTAAGACCCTGGGTCAGCGTACTAGCTAGGGAATTCTGGGAATTGAAGACCGCTCATCTTAAAACATGCTAGCTGGGAAATCTACGAGTTGAAGACCACTCATCTTAAAATATGCTGGCTAGTGTTTTCTGGGAGTTGGAAGTCCATTTTTAAAACATACTAGCTGGGAGTTGAAGTCCACCCATCTTAAAGCATGTTAGCTGGGAATTCTGGGAGTGGAAGACCACCCATCTTAAAGCAGGCTAGTTGGGGATTCTGGGAGTTGGAAGCCCACCCATATTAAAGCAGGCTAGTTGGATATTCGGGGAATTGAAGACCACCTCTCTTGAAGCTGCTTAGGTTCAAGAATTGAGGCTCACCATTTTCTGGCTGCCTCCACATTCCTTCACCATCTTCCCCTCTTTTTCCCGCCTTGCAGCTCTCCATCCTGTCTCTCTTCTTGGAATATCCTACCCTGCTGTGCTCCGATGCCAAGGCGGGTCGGGAAGCGGCCGCCTCTCTCCTCTCCCTCTTTGCCCAGCTGAATCTCTCTCCCAAAAACGTCAGCCTCCGGTGTTCCCTGCTCTTTGCCGCGGAAACGGTCCTGGTGGCGACCGACAGCCTGGGCGAAGACTGCCCGACCTCGCACGAGCTGCTGTCTGTACTGCTCCATCTGGTGTCCGACCCGAATGACAGCCGTGGGGGAGTCGCCGAACGGCCTATCCGTGCCGCAGCTTGCGAGTGCCTGCGAGAACTCGAAAGCTGCTACTCGGGGTTCCTGTTGCACCGGCTGGAGATCCTGCGGTCTCTGCACCAGCAAGAGGTCTCCAGCGTCCACCAGGGCTACACCCTGCTGTACAGCGTGGCGCTGCGGAACGCCGTCTTCCTCCTGGCCCGGAGTGGAGAAGGGTGCCTGGGAGACCTCCTGGCCAGCAACGGAGACTTGATGTGGGAGGCTACGAAGGAACTTGGCAAGCTCTCGCCAGCGGGTCTCGACCAGCTGGTCCTCTTACCGTCCGCCGCAGACCTCAAGGAGTTGAAGTTGGTGCTCTCGGCTCTTCTGGAGAGCAGTTATCTCTTCACCTCCGCGGCACAGAGCCACCTTCTGTGCCATCTGGCTCAGGCGGTGAGCGTGGTGCGCACCCAGTCGCCGGTGATCTTCAAAGCCCAGCTGGCGCGTCTCTTCGGCACGTCCAGCGTGACTCTGGAACACGCCATCCTGCAGCTGAAATCGCTCTTCACCGACAGCCTCTTCACGGCCGAGGACGAGTCCTTCCTCCTGCGGCACCTGGTGGGGCTGGCGCAGCACCCGGCCCTCCCAGATGCCGTGAAGCTTTTCCACTTGGATTGCCTTTTGCACTTCCCCGAAAACCGGCCGCTGGTCTCGGGAACCGACGAACGGCTGCCAGTTCTGCTCACGCCGCGCGCTACCTCGGGTCTTTTTCCAGGGTTCTTCCAAGATCAGGGGACCGTCCTGGCCCGGATGAATTTACTGTGCCTCGTGTGCGTGGAGAACGAGGGGCCCAGTGCCGAACGTGGGGCGGGTTACCTCCTGGAGCACGTCCTGGCCCTCGGAGGCCTCGTGGCCCGCGACGGAGGATTGGATGCCACCCGGCTTTTTTTCCAAGCAGCCTTCATTTTTGCCCAATATTTTGGCTCTCAGGCCCAGCCCATGGCAGAACTCACCCGGTGCCTGCTGGATCTCTACCGTCGCAACTGCACCTTAGCCCCGAACATCATCAATCTGTTGGATGAGACATGGAGAACGGATGAGTCCCACTGGGCCAGGAGTCTCGCCCAAGCCCTGCAAGAATTTGTTGTGAGCATCCCCTTGCAAGAGCAAGACCTGAGTTGGCATCTCAAGATTTTAGCCCGGCTGGCGAAGGAGAACGAAGTTCCCCAAGCCAGCACCATGCAGTTCTTAGCTCGTCTGGTCGCCTCGGGGAAACTTGGAGACTGGTGTTCTGGCCAGATCCTTCTCAGCGTTTGCCGTAACCTGATGGTGCGTCATCCCTCGCCTGCCTTGTCCCAGCTGGCAGCCCTCCTGCATGCCATCTCCCTGGGCCACACAGATGTGGATGTCCAAGACCGGGCTGGCTTTTATTACACACTACTCACCAACCTGTCCAGTGAAAAATTAAGATCCGTGCTGGTCCCCGTAGTTCCCGTCAAGACTCGGTCACTCTCCTCGTCCATCGTTGCCGACAGCGAAAGCTTCGTGGCTGCATTGACGGTGCACCCGGTGGATCCGGCCCCTTTGAGGCTGCAGCGTGTCGAGATCACAGGGGACACCCCTGTGGTTCCTCCCGCCGAGCAGGAGGTGGACGGGCACTGCCAGTGGCTGCTGGCGGCCCGCTCTCCCTCGTGGCTCAGATTGGCGTACCGGCTGATCCACGCGGGGCCTGGCACATCTCCCTACGACCTGCTCCTCTGCGTGGTGCTTCGGTTCTCCTGCACCAGCCGGCATTACGAGCCAGTGCCCGAACTCTGCATTCCGTGCCTTGCCGCGCATCGGCCATCCCCGACGGTGAGGCTGACGCTGCAGCCGCGCTGCCCGTACCCAACCCAGCTGAACGTTTCTGCCCTGTATACAACGCAAGACGGATTGACGCGTTGGAGTCAGCTAGAACACCTGGAGGTGTCCTTTCCCGATCTTTTCCTCCCCCTGCCAGTCCCCGCCTGGTCTTCAGAGAAACTTTGCCAGCTTTTTGATGCGCTCTGGCAGTGCCTGCACCCCAACGCCAAAGAGGCGCACGCCGAGAGTCTCACGGTGTGGCCCCTGCCGCCCCGATCCTTAGAAGGCTTAGTGCGTGACCAGTTTGGCAGGTATATCCTGGCTGAGCAAGCCGACGAGTATAGGATCGCCCTGACTTTACCGCCTCGGGATCACATCCTCCTACAGGTGCGGAGTGTGGACGATTCGGCACGGGTGACCATTCGCACCGACAACTGGAAACTCCTGCCTTCGCTTAACCACTATTTGCAGAGTCTGGTGAAGGCCGGCTGACACTGAAACACTCCAGTGAGTGAAGGGAGGGATGGTGGGGACAGGAGTCCCTCTCGCGTGCTTTTGGGTGGAATTCTAAAATTCTCAGAAATGTCCCCAATAAAAATGTATCGTTTGCAACCCCAAAATTGGAGAGAAGAATATATTTGGGGAGGCCGTGCATTCTGGCATTTTAAGACCTGTGGACTTCAACTCCTAGAATTCTGAGGGTGGATTTCTTCCTCCCTCTGACCCAGGGGCGGATCCCTGGCTGGGGGCAGAGCCAACAACCATGCTGAGTGAAGATTTCTGGGAGTTGAAGTCCACAAGTCATCAAAGGGCAAAGTTTGAAGACCCCTGGACTAATCCTTCCAGCTCTATTCTGATTGATTGACAGAACGATCAGTGGAACCGCTTCCCTTCAGGAATTTGTGGATGCTCCAACGCTGGAGGTTTTCAAGAAAAAAAACCTGGACCATGGGTCTAGGATGGTCTAGGGCCGGGGCAGGCAACCTTGGCTCTTTTATGACTGGTGGACTTCAACTCCCAGAATTCCTGAGCCAGCCTGGCTCAGCTTGGAAACCTCTCCCTTTCCCCTCAGCGTGGCTGGCTCAGGAATTCTGGGAGTTGAAGTCCACCAGTCATAAAAGAGCCAAGGTTGCCTACCCCTGATTTAAGGGTCTCCTGCTTGAGCAGGGGGGTCGGACTGGAGGACCTCCAAGGTCCCTTCCAGCTCTGTTCTGATTGATTGATCTGATTGAGTGACAGAAGAAATCAGTGGAACCGCTTCCCTTCAGGAGTTGTGGAGGCTCCAACACGAGGTTTTCAAGAGAAAAAAAAATGGGCCATGGGTCTAGTATGATCTAGGGGAGATGGGGTCTCCAACCGTGGCCACTTTAAGACTTGTGGACTTCAATTCCCAGAATTCCTCAGCCAGCAAAGCTGGCTGAGGAATTCTGGGAGTTGAAGTCCACAAGACTTAAAGTGGCCACGGTTGGAGACCCCTGGTCTAGAGTCTCCTGCTTGAGCAGGGGGTTGGACTGGAAGACCTCCAAGGTCCCTTCCAGCGCTAGGGGGTCTCCTTTAAGTTATCTTAAGGCTCCCACCCTCCTACTCGGGGGTGGATCCCTGAGCGAGGGAGGATCTCCTCCTCCCTCCCCCCCAGGGGTGGATCCCTGGCCGGGGCGGGGCCGTCGGAGAGCGGGAAGACGCGCGAGGCTCGCCATGGCCGCCCAAGAGCCGAGCGCGGCGCGGCTGGTGCTGGCTTCGCTGCCGGGCGCGCCCCGGGAGCCGCTGCATCTGCTCCCCTGCTCCATCCAGCACGACGGCCCCGCCGCCGTGGCGCGCTACTTTGCGCCCGCCGTCCGACGCGACCCAGAGGCGCCAGACGGTAGGCACGCGGGCTGCAGCAAGGTCCGGCCCGGACCCGCAACAAGCTGCAAAAGCAATCCTGAACCCCGGTCCTCCCCCCCCCTCCCTTCTTCCTTGCGCGCAAGGAGGGGACCAGCGCAGGGCGCGGAATGATGCCCGGAAGGAGCCTTCTGCAACCTGGCGCCCTCCGATTTGGAGAGCGTTGCAAGCCCTCGTCCCCAGTTCAGAATCGGAATAGAGCTGGAAGGGACCTTGGAGGTCTTCTAGTCCAGCCCCCTGCTCGAGCAGGAGACCCTATATACCGTTTTAGACAAATGGGTGTCGATTCCCTTCTTAAAAGCCTCCCGTGATGAAGCACCCACAACTTCTGGTGGCAAGCTGTTCCACTGGTTAATTGTCCTCACTGTCTGGAAGTTTCTCCTTAATTCCAGGTGGCTTCTCTCTTTGGTCAGTTTCCAACCATTGTTTCTTGTCTTTGCCTTCTGATGCTTTGGAGAATAAATTGACCCCCCTGTTCTTTGTGGCAGCCCCTCAAATACTGCAGTGCTGCTATTCAGAGGGACTACAATTCCCATTCTGCCTGGCTGGTCGCCGAGGACAGAAAGGGTGCTATCCAATATGAGAGCTGGGACATCAGCCCTTCGGAGAACCCGCCTTGTGAATTTGGGGTTATTGTGTTGTGTGAATCGGACCTGGAAGTCTTCAAATTGGTTTCTCAAGCCGGAAGATGGGTGGACTTCAACTCCCAGAGTGCTCCAGCCAGCAAATTCTGGGACCTGGAAGTTCACCCATCTTCCATCTGCCAAGCTTGAGAAAAACTGGGTTAGTGGGAGAATTTCTCCTTTGTATGCAGGTTTTAAATTTAATCCTTGCCTACTGTTTCAGAATTTTGTTCTTGAGACATTTGGGGTGTTTGTCCATTTGCCAGCCTATTGCATTTTTTTAATAAGATGCAAGGGATGTTAATTGTCTCACTGTAGAATCTGCTCCCCGGCTCAAAACCAACCCCTAGAATTTTTTTTTTTTTTAAAAGGAGGGTCCCCAAGATTTGGACCATCAGTTTCACCCCCACTTCAGAAGTATTTGTTAACCTGCAGAATGTGAAAGAGTACCAGAAGTGAAAATTATAGGTGCAACTTGGAGCTGTGTCCACACAACGCAGTGAACAGATGAAGGTTAATCTTGATTTATTTTTTGTGCTTTATTAGCTTTTGAATCCTTGTGTTTAGTATGAATCCACTTGATTTTCATTTTGGAGAATTATAATTAGGAAGATAATACCTAATAATAACCCCGACTGCTCTTTAGAAGGCCAGATCCTGAAGTTGAAACTCAAGGACTTTGGCCACCTAATGAGAAGGAAGGACTCCCTGGAGAAGAGCCTAATGCTGGGAAAGATGGAGGGCAAGAGAAGAACGGGACGACAGAGAATGAGATGGCTGGATGGAGTCATTGAAGCAGTAGGCGTGAGCTTCAATGGACTCCAGAAGATGGTAGAGAACAGGAAGGCCTGGAGGAACGTGGTCCATGGGGTTGCGATGGGTCGGACACGACTTTGCAACAACAACAACAAACACCCTATCGTGTGTTTTTTGTAATTTAATTAGTACGCCTGTTATTTCTAGTTTGCTACTGATGTTTTGATTCAGTTCTTTTATTATTGTATGGTTAGTGTGCTATGGGAAAAAAATAAGGGGTCTTGTGAATGCAGCCGCACCCTGCTTGAGTTTCATCGCAGTGGTTTCTCTCCTCCCTGTCCGTCCTCATTCAGGAGAGGCCTCCGTGTCCTTCCGTGGCCGAAGCCTAAAGGGCAAGGAAAGCCGTCTTCCCAAAGGATATGTCGGATTAGTGCTGGAAGAAGCCAACTTAGACCTAACGTTGAAGGTTTGTTCCAGGAATGGTGTGTGGGGAAGACGAGGCAAAGAGACACTGCCCGGGAATAGTCAGATAAGAGACAGCTGAGCCCTCAGCTGCACAATGGATGGAGAAAAGAGTCTCAGAAGGGACCTTTCCTTGTTTCTCAGGCTGTAAAGAAGATGGCGGGAAAATTGTACTTTCAAACTTCCAATAACCTTTTAATGTAGCTTTACCGTAAGATAGAATTAGTTCATCTAGTTGTGATTCCTATGCTTATCCGCGAGGCCCACACTTCCATACTTGGCCAGGGTGGAGAAATAGATCCAGTGCTCCCTGCCAACAACACCCCCTTTTTCTCCCCCACCCCCCGTACCCAGGAACGCGAAGTAAGTGTGAAATCAACTTTTGATTCCCTGACCGTGTGGAACCTGGAACAGGCACCAACTAACAGTGATGAGATCCTCATGGCTCTTGCTTGGCCTAAGATTGCTCAAGGGGTGAGTGTTGGTTGACTTCGTCATCAAGAGAGGGAGGGGAGTCCTCCAGACTACAACTCCCAGAATTCCTTCAGTCTCCCTGAGAATTCTGGGAGTGGAAGTCCGCTCTGGCTGGAAGGTACTATGAACTAGCTCAGGGGTAGGCCACCTTGGCTCTTTTATGACTCGTGGACTTCAACTCCCAGAATTCCTGAGCCAGCATGAGGGAAACTTTGGCCCCTTCATGACTCGTGGACTTGAACTCCCAGAATTCCTGAGCCAGCCACGCTGAGGGGAAAGGGAGAGGTTTCCAAGCTGGCTCTGGAATTCTGGGCGTTGAAGTCCACGAGTCATGAGGGGGCCATAGTTCCCCCATGCTGGCTCAGGAATTCTGGGAATTGAAGTCCATGAGTCATAAAAGAGCCAAGGTTGCCTACCCCTGAGCTAGCTTAATGAAGCCTGGGTGCCTTCCAGCCAAAGCGGACTTCCACTCCCAGAAGTCTCAGGGAGACTGAAGGAATTCTGGGAGTTTGATCCAGAACTGTGAAATGGGATTGAGACGGAATCGAAAAAACTGATTTTGCAATCCACGTAAAGCCACGTGGGATTGTTTTTTTCCCCCAGTTTTGACTTGTATAGGTAATGCAAACGGTAGCAACCCGCTTAAAATACAACACCGGAAGAGACAAAATGGATGCAGGAAACCAGCAGAGGATGAGCCGTGATACTGAGAGCTAGAAACTTGATTTTAGTTTGAAGGCGTTTGTCTACCGGGCATCTGCTAGATTTTCAGTTTTTTTACTTTAGGATTATAGGAGTTCATTCCTGCTCCGAAGATTACAGGCAGTCCTCAACTTAACGGCAGAATTTGACTCAGAAATTCTGTTGCTAAAGGATGTGGTTGTTAAGGGAACCGTGCTCCATTTTATGACATTTTTTTGCGTCGTGATCGTGAAGCAAATCTGGCTGAAGCAAGAAATGTGAGAAAATGTGTCAATGTGGACCAGGAGGCTCTGGGAGGCCTCTTGCCACATGCCTGAATTTTGAGGGGATGCTGTGATGGTCGTAAATGTGAGGACTGTCATAAGTCACTTTTTTTTTTTCCAGTGATGGAACTTCACAGGGGTTAAAACAGTCGTTAAGTCGAGGACTACCTGTATGCATTTTGGCCCAAGCTAAGTAAGGCCACTGATTTTTCTGTGTGGGTCTGCTTGCAGCTCCATGCCCCCGTGACGGAGGAGGAGTGAGGAAGATCACAGCATTGTCCGAAGTGGTCCTCGAGAAAATACGTTGTGCTCCGACTTAAAATGAGGACTTGGGTGGAAAAGAACACGGAATAAACTTCGGCCTCTCTTTGCTGCGTTAAGAATGTCGCTTCGCTTACTCCAGGGGTCTTCAAACTTGGCCCTTTTAAGACTTGTGGACTTCAACTCCCAGAACTCCTCAGCCAGCATGCCTGGCTGAGGAATTCTGGGAGTTGAAGTCCACAAATCCTAAAAGGGGCCAAGTTTGAAGACCCTTAGCTTACTCATTTTCTTTCCAAACTAAATTTGCAATTTATAATATTGTACAGCCTCTGGGAAAAACTGCCGCTTCCCATGAATCTTGGGTTGAGTTTTAACTATTTTTAGGGTTTTTATTTTTATTTTATTTTTTTGCTTCTAAGGGCTTGATTCCCAAAGTGATTTGAGCACATCTTCTTTCCAACTGCAGACGAAAAAGATTCTATTTAAAATTTTTGATGCCAGCTGGGTGCTTCTAGTGCTGCTAGCATTTTAAAAAGATAATAAAATCTTCATTTCAAAACTAGCGGTGGTCTGAGCTCTGGAGTCAACTCTTTCAGGCCCAGAATGGGGGGAAGGGAGGCTGCCAAAACCCCTAAATTTTTATGAGAAATTAGCATCGCCACATGGCTTTTTCATTTTGTAAGGTCAAACCTTGAAAATTTGAGATTTTCATTGCAGTTCAGAAAAAATAACAACTCTGCTTTGTAAATCCATTTTCTTTGGATCCTGCTTTCCATACCAAGAGGGAGGAAGGAAGGAAGGAAGGAAAAAGTAAGGAAGAAAGAAAGGAAGGAAGGGACAAAGGAAAGAAGAGGTAAGAATAGAAAAAGGAAGAGAAAAAACAGGAAGAAAAAAGGACAAAGGAAAGAAGAGAGGTAAGAATAGAAGAGAAAAAACGAAGGAAAATGAATGGAGAAATAACGAAAGAAGGACAGGAGGAAAGGACAAAAAGGGAGAAGAAAAAAAGCGGGAAGAGAAAGGAAAAGAAAAAAAAATACAGAAATAATCACAAAACAAGGGGGGTCTCTTACTTACAAAAAAAAAAACTTTGTTCATTTATTCTGATCAAAGACATCGGGTGATGTTTGCAAAGAGTTTTGCGTCTCTTTCCTTGGCTCTCCGGGCTTTTCCCGGATGAAGAGGCCCATAAGACCCCGTCTCCTCTGAGCTGGAGACGTGGGTGGGAGGGCTCCTGCCTTGCTCCTCCCCCCAGGTTCTGCCCCATAGCACTATATCTCCCCCCTACCCAAATCAGCTGCTGGAAGGCATCCATTCTCTGGCCACGCCGAAGGAGCACCCCACAATCTGCTCTTCTCTCCTGTTCCCGAGCATCCTGGGACTCAGCCCCACGGAAACCCCTCAGCCCCCCCCCAACCTGGGACTCAGGAAGATGGAGGGCATTCAGGAATGTCTGAACATATATATATGTATGTATGTATGTATGTATGTATGTATGTATGTATGTATGTATGTATCTCCAAGCAGGGCGAGCACAATCCGACTGTGCTTTCCAACGACTGTACACGAAGACTTGCAAGTCCCGTCTGGAAAAGGCTATCTAGGACACGCAGGGCTGTTAGGAGTCCGGGGCAGGTGGGAGCTCGGCCTGATCCTGATCCTGCTGTACACTGAGGTCTGGGGAAGCCCCCCTCTGCCAGTTCGAAGGGCTGGGCTTTGGAAATCACCACTTCCCCCTTTTACTCCAGTCCTTGGGGGTGAAATGTAAACACTTGGAATCGATGCGCAGAATCCGCTTCAGCATCGCCCGCTCGTGCCCGTCCACAATGTCCTCGGAGAGCGTTAAAATATATTGGCCCTGGAGAACGGAATAACAGAAAAGACAAGAGTGGGCAAGGGGCAATCCATGCCCGTTTTCCTTGCTTCTCCACAAACCACGATAAAAGGCCTCCGGAGCGAGGCCTTTATTTACCTTATAATAATTGATGAGATTCAGATATTGAAGCGTAGAGATCACGTCTTCTTTTTTGATGCTCGTGATTTCGCTGATCTCGCTGGAAAAGGGGGGGGGGAGAGAGAAAACGGAATTAAGATGCTGAACCGGAAGAAAAACTGCCCCACCTAGAAGAAACTGGAGATCTGAATCTCTGGGCAATTCTGCTGCTTATATTTTGGGGGGCAAAGTCCCTCTTTTTCCCATTTACAAACAGGAGAAGGCTAAGTAAAACATGCTTTTTTTTTTTTTTTGCCCAATCCGCAACCAGAAGGGGGGGAAAAAAAATAACACAGCTGAACAGATAGAACGAATAAGATCCCAAAGGGGGAAGGGGCTAAACAGAGGTCATCTAGTCTAACCCCTCCCTTCTGTATTTCAGAACTACCCCCCAAACACCACAATTTGCCAATGGTCAGTGGGAAGCCCTCATATATATATATATATATATATATAAAATGCCCATCGACAAAGGTCACTCTCGGTTTTTGGGGATTCAAACCCTCCTTCCTACGGTTTCGCCCTCACTTGATGGTGATCTGTGGGCGCTCGCCGTTCTCCAGCTTGAGGTTCATCAGGATCTCCAGGATGGTCTGGGACCAGTAGCTGCGGTACGACAACAGCCCCAAATCCGAGAGGGGTTTTTCCGGCGTGCCCGTCTTTCCTTCCACCTTGGACAGCTCGTAACCTGGCGGGGAAAGACGGAACCAAGTTAAGGCAGAACTGCCTGGGATTTTAAGGCAATCCAGGAGCACAGAAGGTCCTCGACTTACAACAGTTCGTTTAGTGACACTGAGAAAAGTGGCACAGTACCATTTTTCACACAAGCGTTGCACGTGGTCAAAATTCAGACGCTTGGCGACTGACACATTTACGAGTCGCGGTGTCCACGGGAGGGGGGGGTTACGTGATCCCCTTTTGCGACCCTCCGACAAGCAAAATCAACAAGGAAGCCTGACTCACTTAACAACCTTTAGCAACTGCAATGCTTCACTTAACAACCATTGATGGAAAAAGGTCGCCAAAGGAGGCAGAGCTTGCTTAACAAACATCTCGCTTAACGACAGAAATGCCAGGCTCAATTGTGGTCGTAAGTGGAGGACTACCTGTATTGGGGAGGGGAGCCACGCGTGCCTGGCTGAGGAATTCTGGGAGCTGAAGTCCACAAGTCATCAAAGGGCCAAGTTTGAAGACCCCGGCACTAAACGAATGCTTCTAAATTGAAGATGACTGTATAGTTACTGCAAAACAGGAAAGTCACTTACTGAATTCAATCAGCAGCTTGCCGTAACCCCGTCTTTGGTAAGGGGGTAATGTCAGAATGCATGCCACGTTATAATCTTCGGTGGATTCTTTTTCCTGCAAGGGAGAACAAAACAAATGGAGAGTGAGGCTTCGGCCCTTCCTGTTCCGAGCTTGCCAAGATTTTTGGTCAAACACAGATCAGCTTGAGAGCCAAAATTCCCGGGTTTTTATTGTATAAAAAGTTTCAAATAAGAGACTATTTCCAAAGTCCTGGCGATTTGATCAGGAGCCAAATTAGCCGGTTTAGTCTAGTGGTGAAGGCCAGGAGACGAGAGTTCTAGTTCCACCATAAGCACGAAAAACGGCTGGATGACTTTGGGCCAATCGCCAGGAGACGTTGAGTTCTAGTCCCACCTTAGCCATAAAAGCCAGCTGGGTGACTTTGGGCCAGTCCCTCTCTCATCCCAACCCACCTCACAGGGTTATCGTTATTTATGTGTGTTTGCCACCTTGAGTTAATTATAAAAGTAATAAAGGCAAGCTATCAATCAACAAATCCATCCATCCGCCAGTCATCCAGAATTTAGCACTGGTTAACTTTCCAGTTTTGCTTTAAATCCAAGTTCCTAGCCCTTAGGACCGCAAAGCCATTCTTCAGCTTCCAAATGCAATGCGGAGTTGAAGGATCCCCGCCTTCCTGCCCCCTTAAATAATTCCCCTCCCTCCCTGTCTTTTCGGCATGGATTCCATCACCTAAAAACTAGGGAACCCCCCCCCCAATTTTTGGAGCCGAGCCAGGACGCACCTTGGAGAAGTAGCCGACGATGTGGAAGCCTTTGCTGTCGTACTCGGTCATGACGTAGAAAAGGAAGGGATCCGTGTCGTAATAGAGGGTCTTGTGATCCAGGAAGCATTTCGCAAGGAGGCAAAGATTTTGAGAATAACTCTGGAAAAGGAGAGAACAAAAGGGTGAACCAACTGTTGAAGTTAGGGTCAATTAGGAAATTCGGGGGCGAAGGCAGGCAACCTTGGCCCTTTTATGACTCGTGGACTTCAGTTCCCAGAATTCCTGACTCAGCATAGCGTGCCTGGCTGAGGAATTCTGGGAGCTGAAGTCCGCCAGTCGTCAAAGGGCCACGTGTGAAGACCCCCGTGGTAAGGATATTTTTCTTGCCTTGTTCTTCCTGCCGTCAATCTCGAAGAAAGAGATGGTTCCTTTGCGGTAGATTTCGTTGCCTGGCGGATGCCTTAAGTCACACTTCATCTGCAAGAGAAGAAAAACCACAAGAGTTGGGATGTCTTTCTCACCGAGGAACGCTTGCACGATGAGGACTAGCTGAATGGATTTATCATTCTTATGCCGCCCATCTACCTGATAAGGCGACTCTGGACCGCTTAAAATTATAAAACGAGGAGGAGGATTAAAAGATGAAAACGACACGCTGTACTCAAGTTACGAACAGAATTGAAAGCCCAGAATTTATGTTGCTACGTGTAAAATTTGTGAAGTGAGTTTGGCTGCATTTTACAACATTTCTTGCCCCTTTAGTTAAATGAGTGACACGGTTATTAAGTGACTCTGGCTTCCCCAGGATGCTGCAGGCGTCATAAATATGAACCAGTTGCCAAGCATCCGAACGTAAACCTCGTGACTGTGGGGATGCTGCAACGGCCGTACGTGTGAAAAACGGTTGTTAAGTCCCTTTTTTTTCAGTGATGTTGGAACTTTGAACGGCCACTAAACAAACTGTTGCAGGTCAGGGGCTACCTGTATAGAGATGAAGGTTTTAAAAACTGCAAGGAAACCAGAATTAAGAGACAGACGGCCAAAGTGGGGTGGGCTGGGGACGAAGGGAGAGCGAGTCTTCCACCTGATTGAAGGAAGGACTGCAGAAGGGATTGGGACCCCTTTGATCGGGGGGGTTGGTGGGGAAGGGGGGGAGGAAGGAAGGGCCCTTACCAGATGCCGCTGGAGGCACTTAAGGCTCTTGACATACTTAAGGCAGAATTCGCAGAGGTAGACGACGGGCAGGGCGGTGAGCTCCTGCGGGTAGGGCGAAAAGTACCAGGGCTTCAGGCGGTGGCGCCCCAGTTCGATGCATTCGATGTTCTTCATGCGGGTGACGATGTCATCGTGGCTGCGGTCGGAGACCAAGCTGCCCGTCATGCGGGGCGCCGAGGGGATCCCGTCCGAGCTGTCCTGGGAATCCTGCTTGCGAGAATCAAAGGGGGGGACCGTCCGGGATGGGAGGACAGGCCTGCTCCCCTCCAGGGTGGCACCCAAAATGGGCACCTCCAGCTTCCCGCCCCTGATGTATACCTCATCTGTCCCAAGACAGTTGGATTTTCTCTTCCGGCCCGGCTGGGCAGCCACAGCTCGGCGGGCGGAGCCATTCTGGAAAAAAGAGAGGGCATTGCAAGGGGGTCCTCGGCTTACGACCACGATGGAGCCCCAAATTCCTCTGGCTGGCTGAGATATTTGTTAACTGAGCTACACCCCATTTTACGAACTTTCCTGCCCCGGTTCTTAAGTGAATCACTGGAGCTGTGAAGTTAGTAACATGGTTGTTCAACGGAATCTGACTTCTCCATTGGCCACAAAATCGGATCACAGGAGCCCAGGCCACTGCGACTATCCTAAATAAATGCCAGTTGCCAAAGCGTCTGAATTCTGATCACGTGACCACGGGGGAATGCTGCAACGGTCGTAAATGTGAAACACGGTCCCAGGTCCCTTTTTCCGGTGCCGTTGTAACTTCAAACGGTCAGCCAAGCAAGCGGTCCTCGATTTGCGACACATCATTTAGTGACCATTCCAAGTTACAACGGCCCCGGAAAAAGGGACTTACGACCGTTTTTCATGCTTACGACCGTTGCAGCATTCCCCACGGTCAGGTGATCAGAATTCAGACGCTGGGCAACTGATTCCTACTTAGGACCGTTGCCGTGTCCCCCTTTGCAACCTTCTGACCAGCAAAGTCGAGGGGGAAGCCAAGATTCACTTAACAACCGTGGTTACTAATTTCACATCTGCGGCGATTCGCTTCGCCAACATGGCAAAGAAAGTCGTCAAATGGGGCAAAACTCGCTTGACCAAAGAAAAAAAATATATCTTGCTTAGCAGCAGAAATTTCGGGGCTCGGTCACCGTCGTAAATCAAGGACTTCCTATGTTCCTTTTCGTGCACTTACCTGGGGAAAAACCGAGGCCTGTGTCGTCTCGGTCACAACGGGGATGGGGGTTGCTGGAGAGACCACCTCCACTTTCCGTTTCTGGAAGAGACCAAAGCAAAGAAGGTCTAGGGGGGCCACCTGCCTCCTCCTCCTTCTCTTCCTCCTCCTCCCCCCCTCCCCAATTTTCCAGCCTGCAAAAGATGGGGAGACTTGGCCTGAGATGGGTTGGCCAGCCCAAGCCTCTGCAACTAGTGTCCAGGTCAGGGGTAGGCAACCTTGGCTCTTTTAGGACTGGTGGACTTCAACTCCCAGAATTCCTGAGCCAGCCATGCGGAGGGGGAAAGGGAGAGGTTTCCAAGCTGAGCCAGGCTGGCTCAGGAATTCTGGGAGTTGAAGTCCACCAGTCATGAAGGGGCCAAATTTTCCCCCATGCTGGCTCAGGAATTCTGGGAGTTGAAATCCACCAGTCATAAAAGAGCCAAGGTTGCCTACCCCTGGTCCAGGTGAAGGAAGCTGGAGATGAGAAGAGGGGTCATAGGAGGCCTTTGATTGGCGGGATCGCTCTGCAGCATTAAGAAGGGTGGACTTCAACTCCCAGAATTCCCCAGCCAGCAGGCTTTACCATGGGTGGGCTTCCACTCCCAGAATCCCCCAGCCAGCTTGCTTGAAGAGGTGTAGGCTTCCATTCCCAGCATTCTTCAGTCTCCATGTTGGCTGGGGAATTCTGGGAGTTGAAGTCCACAAGTCATCAAAGGGCCAAGTCTCAAGATCCCTGATCTAAAGCTTCAGGAAGAGGGATGGGGCCCTGGCCCTCCTGGTAGAAGCCAATCCTTTTACAACCCCAACTTTGATTGATCGGTCGTGGCTTAGGAAAGCTGTTTTATACAGCATACAGGTAGTCCTCGACTTATCACCGTTCACTTTGGTGACCGTTCAAAGGTAGAACAGTACTGAAAACAGTGGTGGCCATTTTTCACATGTACGACCGTTCCCACGGTCACACGATCAAAATCCAGACACATGGCGACCTGCTCGTATTTATGACGGTCGCAGTGTCCCGGGGTTACATGATCTCCTTTTGTGACCTTCTCAGTGGGGAAGCGGCATTCACTTAACAACCGGGTTGCTCATTTAAGAACCCCTGTGATTCGCTTAAACAGCCGTGGAAAGGAAGCTTGGTAAAATGGGGCAAAATTCACTTAACAAATGTCTCAGCAGCAGAAGCCGTGGCCGTTAAGTCGAGGACTACCCGTAAACCCATCTCCTTCTCAAAACAAGGCCAAGAGACCCTTTCCAGAGTTGCAGACGCTTTGGTTCAAGAAATAAGGGGTGTACCAGGCCCACTCAGAAGCCTTACTTGACCCCCCAACGCTAAACCCCACTGGTCAGAGTGGTGGGGAACCGTGATGTTGGTTGAGGGATCTGGCCCTACAGATTATATTTGCTTCCCTCTCAGCAGCTCAAGAGGCACACAGATCGTCTTGGATTCCTGCCAGATTTCCCCCCCCCCCCATAACACCGGGAAGCAGTTTGGGATAAGGAAGTGTGACTGGATCCAAGTCATTCAGGGAACTTCGTTGGTTGGGCAGGATTTGAATCCGGGTCTCCGGCCTCTTAGTGCAGCCCCGTCTCCATCTAGCCACCCCCTGACTGGTGGGCTGGGAGGGAAGGGCTGACCCAAATCCTGCTCTGTGGCTGAGAAGGGATTAAAAGTGGAGTCTCCCCGTCTCTAATACGACTTCTTTATTTATCGCTGATGGAAATTCAGTTATGGCTTCTTCTGCCTTAATGTTTTTTCACAAAACGATCCTGCAAGTTTATGAGCGATTGGTCCGGGGTTCACTCACAGAGCCAAGAAGGGGTAAAGCATCAATCTCTCTAGTTAAAACCAGTTTCAAACTGGGCTAAATACGGAGGGTTTTCAGCACAGAATGGGAAAAGGCACCATCTTCCACACCTTTTTAGAGGCCTCATCTGACCCTGGTCTTTGGGTGTCACGTAAATCTCGTTGTATGCGTGTACTGTGTATACACATACAATGACAATAAAGTTTATTTATTATTAGTGATACCACTTAAGATTTATCTACTGCTTCACAGCCCTCTCTAAGCGGTTTACAGAGTCGGCATCTTTGCCCTCAACGGTCTGGGTTCTCGTTTTGCCGACCTCGGAAGGACGGAAGGCTGAGTCAGCCTTGAGCCCGTCAAGATCGAACTCCTGGCAGTGGGCAGAGTCAGCCTGCAAGGCTGCATTCTAACCATTTGTGCCACTACCAATTTAATTCTTCAATCAGGGGTCAAGCACCATATCATTTGGGGCTTGAAGATATTATAACTGTCTTAACACAGGGCTAGGCCACCTTGGCTCTTTTATGACTGGTGGACTTCAACCCTAGAATCCCTGAGCCAGCCATGCTGAGGGGAAATTGAGGTTTCCATACTGAGCCATGCTGGCTCAGGAATTCTGGGAGTTGAAGTCCATGAGTCATGAAGGGGCCACAGTTTCCCCCATGCTGGCTCAGAAATTCTGGGAGTTGAAGTCCACCCATCATAAAAGAGCCAAGGTTGCCTAGCCCTGGTCTAGCCCTTTTCATTGGTGGCTTAAAGCTATTACAACCGTCTAACGCTTTTCATAGTTGCGGTTTAAACTTAATATCAAGCTTTTAGCCAGGTCCGGCCTCTTTTAAATCTTGTTTTCTTCTACGGTGGGATATGGTCTGCCCTGCCTCGACTCAGGAGGGAAGAGTGTTTTTTTTGGGGGGGGGGGCTTGGAAGGAAAGGCCACAACGCTCCTGGCCACCCTTCCCCTCCCTCCCTGGAGGTCTCCCTTGCCAGCCCAGACCTAACTCAACCCCGCCCAGCTGGTGCGGCCTCTTGAGAAGCGGGCCGAGCAAAAACGAGACATCAAAGCAACAAGCCGTGGCGGCCGAGCGCCAGTTTTTGTACCGTGGAACGATGGTTTGGCTGGACGCAGGAGCTGGAGGAGAGGGCTTGGTCGGGCGAGCCAGGGATGGCCTCCCTCTCTTTAGATAGGTTAAAACGGAGGGTTATCTGCACCGGGATGGGTAGGGTTTTACCGCTGGATGGAGTGGCCGGTTGTAGATCCAAGGTCTTCCTCTGAGTAGAGAGGAAGACGGGCATTACCAACAGGTGGGGAAAGGACGCAAGTCCTGCTCGGGGCTGGGGGGGAGAGCGTATGGGGCGGCCCCTCCATCTCCAGACCAAACTTGCAGTCCGAGATCTCGGCGTGGGGGAGAAAAAGCAGAAGAAATCCATCAATGCTATCCATTTTCCCCATTCTCACGTCATCGCAGAAGCTTCCCTAACCTGGGTTGGTTACAGCCTGGGCAAGTGGGATGGACGTTCGGCCCCCGGGATGGCTAAAGGTGATCCGAGGACCCTCCTCCCCAGCGTGCCCTTCCCGTCAACACCTCGGCCCTCCCCCCCAAAGGCCCGCAGGGCGTACCACGTCACGCTCCGGGGAGCTGGGCCGGGATCCCGGCAGCCCGTTCTTGGTGGGGGTCTTGGCTTCCTTCTTAGGGAACTGGATCTTCTTTAAGTCCAGCCGGTCGTGAGTGACCCATTCGTCCAGCCGCTTGTTAACTGGGAGGTGAAGGAAAGACACGGAGGTTTAGTCCTGCTTTAGGAAAAGGCTCGCCGTGGTCAAGAGCCAGTTTGGTTACTCTAGGGCAGCGGTTCTCAACCTGTGGGTCGGGACCCCACTTGGGGTCAAACGACCATTTCACGGGGGTCGCCAAACAACGCAGTCCGCCATTTTTTCCCCCCTTTTCCTTAGCTGTGCTACTCGCTTTTATTCTATTGGCTTTTGAAAGCCAATAGAATAGATTCTCTTGAATAGAGTCTAATTCTATTGGCTTTACAAAGCCAATAGGAATTGTCCAGGCTGTCTCTGCCCTGCTGAGCCCGCCAAAAGTCCCATTCTGCAAACGGTGCTGCACCGGTTGAGTAGTCCTCGACTTACGACCGGTTGAGTAGTCCTCGACTTACGACCAGTTGGGGGGGGTCGCGGCATTAAAAAGGTTGAGAACCCCTGCTCTAGGGGTTCGAAACCAGGCGACGGTGAGTTCTAGTCCTTGCCTTAATCATGAAAGCCGACTGGGTGACTTTGGGCCAATCACCAGGAGACGGTGAGTTCTAGTCCAGCATGAAAGCCAGCTAGGTGATGTTGGGCCAATTACTAGGAGACAGGGAGTTCTAGTCCCACCTTCGGCACAAAAGCCAGCTGGGGGACTTTGGGCCAGTCCTTCTCTCTCAGCCCAACCCAACCCACAGGACTGATGTCACGGGCAAAATAGGAAGAAGGAATATTAGATATGTTTGTCATCTTAGTTGTAGAAATAATAAAGGCAGAAAATATACATATATAAACAGATTCAAAGCGAACACCAGGATAAAATAAGCCAGACTGTTTAATACAAACAAGCATATAAATAAGAAGTTACTAAGCTTTCGTCGGCGAAACTGTTATAAAATAAAAAATAAAAAAAAAGTTCTACCTCCAGCAAGACATTCATAAATATCTTGGTTTCCCCCCCCCTTTCTTCAATCTTCTCTGTGCTTCTCGTATCAGGTGACTACTCAATATTTTCTAAACAGCACACGCATAGCCAAGAACAGACCAAACTGCAAAAGCCCAGATTTATCCCCAGCCCTCCAGATGTGTGGGGCAGTCTGGGGAAGGACTCACTGGGGAAGACCGATCTAGACACCGGAACGGGTGTCTTGATAACAAGCCAAGGCTTCCCCTTTGAATTTGCTTGTCAGGAGGTCCCAAAAGGGTACCACGTGACACCACAACTGTCATGAGCGTCTGGATTTTGATCACGTGACCACAGGGGGAACACTGCAACGGTCACAAGTGTGAAAAACGATCATAAGTCACTTTATTCAGTGCCCTTGTAACTTCAGTCACTAAATGAACAGTTACAAGTCGAGGGCTGAACAATTATCTTAACTTCAGTTTCATCGTGGTCCGGATAGGATTCTAAGGGCCCTCCGCTCACTTCTATAATCTCCATCTGGAAAAGACGGCGGCAATATTTTCCTTCCCAATTATTCAATGGCTCCACGTCTGTTTCGTTTACTCACAATCAATATAGTGAACATAGAAAAGCTTTCGGCCATTGATGTCTTTAACACTCAGGATTTCAGCCAGTGCTGCGAAATGAAAAGAGAGAAAGCAGATTATTTTAAGAGAAAACAAACTTGATAAGGTTTACAAAACTCTGAAGTACCCCAGAAAACACTTCACAACCAGGATGTGAAGAATTCAGGCGTAAGAGGTAAAATTGGCCACTGAACGAGTGGTTGCAAATTGAGGACTCCCTGTATTTTATTTATTCATTAATTTTTTCTTATGCGGCCCCTCTTCCCTATCAGGTGACTCTGGGCAGCTTAAAGATATAAGAGGTAGAAGAATGATTAAAATATTAAAACCGCACAGATGGAAGATTTTAAAACTCCGAGTTGTCACTAAATGAACTGTCGTGGGGCACCCGTACTGTGCAATTCCCACTGGAATTGGGCAGCCAATACATTCAAATCCGGGGACTTCAAACTGGGCCCTTTGATGATTTTGTGGACTTCAACTCCCAGAATTCCCCAGCCAGCATGCCCGACTGAGGAATTCTGGGAGTTGAAGTCCACAAGTCATCAAAGGGCCAAGTTGGAAGACCCCGGATTTAAATGAAGAACAGAGAGGTCCAGCGTGCTCTCACCACTATCCCGCACTACCTTGGTTCTAATCTTGGGGGTCCCTCCAGTGAGAGTCACCCCCTCCCTTTAAATCCTTCCTCCAACAAAGTCTGAATGGGATTTGTAGTCTCAAGGGACCGTTTCACGTGGCCCCGCCCTCCCGCACAAGCCCCCCCACCCCTTCTCAAGCCCCGCCTCTCCCTCTTTAAACCCGCCCCCCCTTACTCACGCCACTCGTCCTCGTTTTCTTGGTTACGGCGCAAGACGGGGAGGTTACACCCTTCGGTCACTTCCTCCTGCAAAAAGGGGAAATTAGGCGGGCGCTCGAGGCCCCCACCCCGGTGTACCCTCCCCGGCTCCTCTCCCCTTCCCTCCGCTCCGCACTCACCACCTCCGCCATCTTAGGCTCTCGCCGTTTGCCGGGGCCTTCTCTTCCGGCATCTGCCGAAACTACTTCCCGAGAGCGGAACCACTTTTTCCGGTATCTGTTCAGGCCTACTTCCGGTTTCTGGAGTCCCAACATGATGCGACGTCGCGGCGAAGCCGAGGTAGAAGAGTGGGCGTACCATAGAGAGGAGCAGCCTAGCTCGCCAGGAAGAGCCTGGAAGTGAAGCGGAAGTCAGCCGGTACAGTTGAGACCCGGATGTGGGTAGTTCAAATGTTTTGAGGCTCTTGCAATGGAGCTCAGTGCAGTGTTTCTCAACCTTGACCACTTTTTTAAGTTGTGTAAACTTGAACTCCCAGAATTCCCCAGTCAGCAGCATGGCTGGCTGGGGAATTCTGGGAGTTGAAGTCCACACAATGTAAAATTGTCACGGCCGTGAAACACCGTTCTAGCGGTTATAGAATTGACAAAATAAGGATTTATTCCAGGGTAGGTGCCAACTGCGAGGACAAAGTGGGCAGCTATTCCAGGAAGGTTGTTAGACGTTGCCAGGCTGACCTTGCAGCTGCAAGGAGGTCTGGGTGCGAAAAACGCAGCAAGCTTGCAAGGTCGCACAGGACGCTTTCATCCGACTGCAGAATGAAAAAAACCAAATAATCATTTATCGGTAGGAAGAAAGGCTGCTTCACAGGACTCATTTCAATCAATTCAATCAGAATAAAGCTGGAAGGGGCCTTGGAGATCTTCTAGTCCAACCCCCTGCTCAAGCAGGAGACCCTATACCAGGGGTCTTCAAACTTGGCCCTTTTATGACTTGTGGACCTCAACTTCCAGAATTCCTCAGCCAGGCACGCTGACTGAGGAATTCTGGGAGTTGAAGTCCACAAGTCATCAAAGGGCCAAGTTTGAAGACTCCTGCCCTATCCCATTTCAGACAAGTGGCTGCCCAACCTCCAAAAAGCATTCATACGCCCAGGGAGGAGACACGGGTTGACCGGCGAGGCATCACAGCTAAGCATTTTAAAAAGCTGCATTCACACAATACGCGAAACTGGCAAGTCTTTCAACTTGAGACTCGGCCCGGTTGCATGCACGCCATTCCTGGGCTAGCCCAGCGCAAGAGCTGGTGCACGCGACTTTCAGCCGCGTTCGGACCTACCAGCCGCATTCCCACGAGCAGCCGAAACCGACTTGCAGACTCAGGTCATTTCGGAGCGGCCTCTTGCGTGTCGGCCCAAGCCGACTCGTTCGCGGGGAAGAGGCGGACTCCTCATCCACCGCGCATCGTCTGAACCCGCCCGGCAGCAAGACACGCGATCCAGTCCGTCGTCGGCGCTTTTTTTAAAAAAATGCCTGGGTCAGGAACTCGCGCCCCGCCCTCCGCCCCCGCGATTTGCATAGGGGGCGTGGGCAGGAGGTGGGCGTGGCTTTCCCAGCAGGCGGTCGCGTCACGTGGGCCAGGGTGTTTCCTTTGAGCTGGATACATTGTAGCAGCCGTCGCCGTCGTCGCCGCGGCCTCCGCTCCCTCTGCCCGACGCCGGCCCAGAGAACCGGGCCAGAGCCCCGGCCCGTCTTCCCGGGCCTCGGGGAAGCGCCGGCCTGGCGTCGAGGGGGGCTCCGGGCCCTCCGAGCCGCTGCTGCGTGGCTGCCGAAGGCCTCTGGGCCCCTCCCGCGCCCGCCATGGGGGACCCCCTGCCCCAGATGCCGCCTGCGCTGCCTTCCACCACCATGGAGGGTGAGTGAGCCCCCCCCGGACTCCCCCCTCTGTCCCCCCCTTAGAGTCCCGCCTTTCCCCCTCCCTCAGAGGCCCCCCATTCCTCCCTCGGACTCTCCCCCTCTCTGACCCCCCCACATTCCTCCCCTGGAGTCCCCCCCTTTTCTCCCTTCCTCGAAGTCACCCCATTTCTCCCTCGGGCTCTCCCCCTCTCTGTCCCCCCCACATCCCTCCCCCTGGAGTCCCCCCATTTCCCCCTCTCCCTCGGGGTTTCCCCTCTCTGTCCCCCAACATCCCTCCCCCTGGAGTCCCCCCTTTGCCCCCCCCTCAGAGTCCCCCCATTTCCCCCTCTGTCCCCCCCGTACCCCCACATTCCTTCCTTTGGATTCCCCCCCTCTGTTTCCCACCTTTTCCCCCCTCCTCCCCCTCTCTATGCCCCCCATCTCTCCCTTTGGGGCTTTGCCCCTCCCACCCAGGCACTTGTGTCTGAGCTGGAGGGGACCCCCTTCTCCTTTTAGCCCCTCTCCCCATACCTTGTTTTCTCCCCTCCCTTGATGGAGGGAGGGAATCAGACCTCCCCCCCCAAAAAAAGAGGGCCTGCCTGTTCTGCAGTTTGGATGAGGCCTTAACTTGTTACAGTCCCCCCCCCCCTTTGTTCTTTACACCAGAGAAAGTGTCTTGCTGGCTTCCATTTATTTATTTAGAAATTCTGACCCCCCTTCCCCCAAAAATTGCCCCCTTTCACTTTCTCCCTCATTTATATTCCTCCTTTTTGCCCCCCCTCCTTTATTTCCCCCCCCCTCAGGAAATGATGAGATGAATGGGCAGGTTCATTATCACCATCACACACAAACACACACACGTACACATCACTTAGGACCATAATTGGGGCTAGAATTTCTGATGCTAAGCAAGGCAATTGTCAAGAGGGTCCCACTGGATTTTACAACCTTTTTTGGGGAGGGGGCTGTACTATGGTTGTTAAGTGGATCATGGGGGTCTTTGAGTGAGTCTGCCATTCCCCCCCCCCCCCGTTGATGTTGCTTGTCAAATTGGGCTGGGAAGGTCTGCAAAAGACCATCACACAACTCCTGGGGTGCTGCAACTGTTGTAAACGAATTGTGGGTTTTCTGGGGGATGTAAAGAAAGACCAGGCAGGGACCCCATGAGACCATCTGGAAGGGTCTCTTGATTCGCCCTGACCTTTGCAATCGCTTCAAAAGATTATCTTGCCATCCTAATCTGGGTTCTTTGTGCTTAACTGAGGCTGTGCAGGTGCGTTGGGAAACTGCAAATCCCAGAATTCCTAGGAGGGGGAAAAAAATGGGAACAGCAGCTAGGAATTGTGGGAATTCTCCATTCCAGACTGTTCCGTTTTTTCCTAGAAGGCGGTTTTACAACACTCAAGTTCTTATTTTAACTCGGCCTTTTGTGCCTCTTTGAAAAGCAGCACTTGAAAAAATGTTAACAATATCCTCAAATCAAGCTTGAGTGATTTACACACCCACAAAACACAACACATGCCTCCTCGCTTTAACCCATTTAGTGTCTGCCTTTAAAAAATGCACCAGATGTGTGGCTTCTTGGGGGGGGAAAATCATCTGACAGGTTGCATTTTGAAAGATTCTGACTTTACCGGTACTTAGCTATTTCCTTGTTTGAATCTCTTGTGTTTTTTTTTTCACTTTGGGGGGACTGTTTCAATGGGTTTTTAAGCTGCTGGCTCTTGAGCAAATGGGTGAATAAAAGCATGGAGCCAAAATTTTTATTCCTGATTTTTTATTTAGGAATTTCATTATTCCGCGAAGTTGTGCTCTGATTTTCTCTTATTTTTTTAAGCAGGGATGTTTACATATCTACAGCATATATCAATATATTTATATGTGTATATCGATATATTTATTTATATGACACACATGCATTTATTTATATGACACACATGCATTTATGGTCTATACATGTATATGTGCGTGTAAAAGGGGTATGTGTATCTTTATATCTATCTAAAGTGTTCTTCGTGTAAATCACCTATCGTCACAGATAGACTGTGGCTGACCTTGGAGGTTCTACTCCTCCCAAGGCCTGTGTGAGGTCTGAGGGTTGTGACTTCATACGTGTGTGCAAATAAGTGTGATTTTGTTCTTTTTCTCCTTTTGTGCTGTGTCTCTCGGTAACTTTAGGACCATGCCTAAAGAAGTTGGAACATGTTTGTTTAGTTAATTCAGAGGCTACCTGAATTCTCAGTGACTTTGGATACCTTAAAATAATTCAAGAAAAACAATAGTTTAAAATATAATGAACATTATCTGTAGGTCCATATTTATAAAATTACAGTAGCAATCTTGTCCCATTTTTTTCCCATCAGCCAGCATTCATGATTCTTTAATTCGTTTTGTACTGTTGACTACACAACTGCCACTAAAATCCATGTAAAATAATAATACTAGCAATAATAATAAATTAAACATGCTGCTTGACTCTCAATGATTCCGTGCCAAAATTCAACAATATCGAGGAATTTAAATGATAATGCTGTCCTCCGAACGGATCGCTTTTAATTCCAGATTAAAACAGACGTTTTCGCCCAACGCGCATAAATGCTAAGCTGGTGACTGTAATAAAAAAAATCTATCAAATCTTTTCATCAGTAATAGGGTGAGGCAGGAAATAAAACAAATTGGTAACTAAGTAATATCAAAGTAATGAGCGTGCCATAAATCTCTGCCTAAAAAGTCCACCTTTATGCAAAATCAAGAAGATAGAAAAGAGATGAAAAGAAAATAGTTTTGCACACAGACTGGGAGGCTTTGGAAGTATACTAGTCCTCAAGTTACAGCCCCAACGGAGACGACAATGTCTGCTGAAATTTCACAACTCAAAGGAGCTATGGGGAATGGGTGTTGCTGCTTAAACGTGGATTAGGACATGGGGAACTGGGAAGAACATGGAGCTGGGAGAAAAGCAAATGAGTTGCTCAAAATTAAGATGTCAACATCCCCTAGTTTGTTTTGGAAGCTGGTGACTTCGAACCAGGTTGGGATGTTAAGTTTCCAGGATTTCCAGGACCTGGAGAGGAAAAGGGCTACACGGGTCGTGACCCCCTTGGGTCATTCGTCCCCAGTTGCTAAAAAGAGAAGGACAGAAGTCAACTTGCAAAAGGATAAAAAACAATGCTGTTGGGGAGATATTTGACCTGTGTTTAACACTGCTTGATAAAAAGGAAGAAGCCCTGATTCTCTTCCCTGGCTCCATTGCAAAGAGATCCGACGTTCCTCCGGGTTTCTGTTGCTAGAAATTGAGATGCAAAAGACTGAATGAAAAAAAAAAGTGGTTTTTTTTGGGGGGGGGGGGGTTGAGGAATCCGGTTCCAGAGCTCTAGCTTGACTTTAATGCTGGAACCTGCTTGCTGACAGAAGCCAACATTTTGATAAAGAATCCAATTCTGATTGTTTAACATACTCACCTATGCTTGGATGGGGTGAAAAACCTCAGCAGAATATCTTCTCCATCTTCATTTCCACGTTAAGGTCGTCTTCTCAGTCTTCTGAACCAATCCCAGAGCTTTTAAGATGGGTGGACTTCAACTCCCAGAATTCCCCAGCCAGCCTGCTTTAAATGGATGGAGTTCAACTCCCAGAATTCCCCAGCCAGCCTGCTTTAATAGATGGAGTTCAACTCCCAGAATTCCCCAACTAGCCTGCTTTAAGTGGGTGGACTTCAACTCCCAGAATTCCCCAGCCAGCCTGCTTTAATAGATGGAGTTCAACTCCCAGAATTCCCCAACTAGCCTGCTTTAAGTGGGTGGACTTCAACTCCCAGAATTCCCCAGCCAGCCTGCTTCAACTCCCAGAATTCCCCAGCCAGCCTGCTTTAATAGATGGAGTTCAACTCCCAGCAACAGCCTGCTTTAAATGGATGGACTTCAACTCCCAGAATTCCCAGCCAACTCTAGATCTTCTGTAGAGTCCATTCAAAGGAGTAAATAAACAAGAGCAAATTTCAAAAGTATTAATTGGGGCAGCAACTTGCTGCAACTCTGGTGGGAAAAAAAAACATTCTTTTAAGACCGTTGAAGTTCTTACGGTTGATTATTTCCCTTCACCTCTGACCCTGGCTTGTCAGTCTGTGAAATATTTGAAAGCGACATTTTTTCTCCGACTTCCTCCTTTTTCGGCTCAGCAACAACGTCTCTGCTTCTCTTTTCAAAATCCCCTTTTTCAGTGGTCTGCACAGGTAGTCCTTGACGTAGCAAGCCCTGTTGCTAAGCAAGGCAGCCATTAAGTACATTTTGCCCTGTTTTATGACCTTTCTGCCATTGTCGTTAAGCAAATCACTGGGGTTGTTAAGCGAGGCACGGGGTTTTTAAACGAATCTAGCTTTCCCCCCATTGACTTTGCTTACCGGAAGCTAACTGGGACGGTTGCACATGACCATGTGACCCCAGGATGCTTCCAAATTTGGATCACATAACTGTGGGATGCTGTTGTGATGGTTGTATGTGTGAAAAACGGTCCTAAGTCACTTTTTTCAGTGCTGTTGTTAACGTCAAGTCACTAAACAAAGGGTTGTATGTCAAGGGTGACCTGAAACGGGGCAGAGGGAATGGATTTTATGGCTAAAAGCAAAAAAAAAAAAAAAAGCTGATTTTTTTTTCCCCTGCAAACGTTCTGACAATACCTAAACCCAGGTTGAGAAATGCAATGGTTGCTAGCTGTGAAAAAAAACAATAATGGAGCGATAGTTTGTCTCGGTAAAAGGTATTCCTGCATTCCAGGTGTCTACCAGAATCTTTTCAACCATGAGGACTAGCGTCCTTCTTTATTTCTTTCATTTATTATCCCCTCAGACTTGTTGAAATCTGGCTGAGGAATAACCCTCTCTGGACTCATGGAAAGCTCCATATTTAATACCGTTCATGGTGGCTTGGGATTTGCAAACCCAGTAATGCTGGCTTAATTCAACCAATGATGGTTTAAATAAAGATTGCATTTAAACTGCCCAGAGGTTGCTGGGGAAAGCTCACAATCTGTGAATTAAGAAGGAGGAGGGTGGAGGAGGAAAGTAGCTAGGCCCCTGCTGATTGGACCTCCATTGAATTTAAATTTAAAGTGTGGCAAAACCAAAACATAAAAAAAAACACTATTATTTTCCCCTTTGTTTCTTTCAGATCTTCTTCCTCTGCTTTTTCCAACAAGCTGGAGTCTTCATGGTAAGTTGCACATCCCAACGGTTCTGTTAAATAATAATAATTAAAAAAAACCCTTCTCCAAATAATGCCTATGCATTATCCAATCCATATAAAGACATCTTGAAATGTCAGTCACCACAAGCAATTGACAGGAAATACTGAATTTTTGGAAGGGTTTTAATGTGGCTCGATGGGATTGTGATTTTTCCTGTTGGGAGGGGCCCCTTGCTAAAAAGCAAACCTCCGGGAATTTAAAACTTGTGCCTAGATTGATTTTGATCTTTTACATCTATTTATGATAGGGTTTTTTGTGGACGGCATTGGAACAAATGATATAATTTGATTATTTTTAATAATAATGTTTTTGTGTTTACATTCTTGCTGATAGGACACAGCCGCAAATGTTTCATTGCATTTCTAGTTTTGGAAAAATGTGCAGTTGTTGCGTAATTCTGACATTTGCATAATTGTAAATAAATGATAGTTTAACCCAGGGTAAAGTTGGCTTCGGGGTTTGATGGCAATTCAGAACATGTTCAGTGGGGATATTAGAACTCAATTGTAGTGGTGGGAGGAAATTAAATAGAAGTTTAATTAAATAGAAAAGAAAGCAATGTTTTGGAGCTAATCAATGTTTTAAAACGGGTGGGGGAATTACACCCCCCCTTATGACCTGTGGACTTCAACTCCCAGAATTCCTGAGCCCCGACTTAACGACCACAATTGAGCCCAAACGTTCCGTTGCTAAGTGAGACCGTTGTTCATTGAGCTTTGGCCCATTTTACGACTTTTCTTGCCCCAGTTGTTAATGGAATCACCGCAGTTGTTAAGTTAATAACTCGGTTGTTAAGTGAAACCAACTTCCCCCTTGACTTTGCTTGTCTGAAGGTCGCAAAAGGGGATCACCTGACACTGCGACCGTCATAAATATGAGTCAGTGGCCAAGCGTCTGAATTTTGAGCACGTGACCGCGGGGAGGCTGTAACGGTCGTAAGTGTGAACAATGGTCACTGTTTCAGGGCCGTCGTAACTTTGAACGGTCACTAAGTTGAGGGAGTTGAAGTCCCCATCTTAAAGCAAGCTGACTGGGGGATTCTGGGAGTTGAAGCCCACTCCTCTTAAAGCAAGCTGACTGGGGGATTCTGGGAGTTGGTCCACTTATTTTAAAGCAAGCTGACTGGGGGATTCTGGGAGTTGAAGTCCACCCATCTTAAAGCAAGCTGACTGGGGGATTCTGGGAGTTGGTCCACTTATTTTAAAGCAAGCTGACTGGGGGATTTTGGGAGCTGGTCCACTTATTTTAAAGCATGCTGGCTGGGGGATTCTGGGAGTTGAAGCCCACCCCTCTTAAAGCAAGCTGGTGGAAGAATTCTGGGAATTGAAGTCCGCCCATCTTAAAGCAAGCTGACTGGGGGATTCTGGGAATTGAAGTCCACCCTCTTAAAGCAAGCTGGTGGGAAACTTCTGGGAGTTGAAGTCCACCCAATCTTAAAACCATGCCGGCTGGGGTATTCTGGGAGTTGAAGTCCACCCCTCTTAAAGCATGCTGGCTGGGGAATTCTGGGAGTGGAAGTCCACCCACCTTAGCGTCGACCAGGTTGCAAAACACTGGTTTTACAGTAGTCCCATCCCCTGCCTGGAAGGGGGAAGAAAGCCAATTAAATCCTCTTTCAGACGTGACTTACTTAATCCAAGCTCTGCTTACAAAGAGATGGAGAAGCCGCCGGTTCTTTCACTGTCGCGGGCAGGGGAGGAATCTCCTTGCCAGGAAGTGTTTTGTGCCTCTCTCATTCATGACCATCGGTTGTAGATTCAGCCAGCTTCGGGGATTTCCCTTTGTGGAGATTGCTTTTGAGTGTTTCTCTTTTTTTTGTTTGTTTGTTTCTTCGGCCAGGTGATTCAATGCTTCCTTTTTCTCTTTTGGCTTCCAAACAATGCAAAGAGGAGGAGAGCTGGCTGCATAGGGCAGCCAGACCAGGCCTTGAGCTGGTGATTTAGCGGCAGGTTATTCAAGAGAGGCCAAAAAAAAAAAAAAATTCCAATATTGCTCAAAGTTGGGATTTAGGAAATCCCCCGTTGTCAAGCAGGAGGCAAGGCCTGGCCTGCTAAGAAAATTGTGCCATTGTGTACTATCTGGAGAAGGACACTGGAGGAGGCCTCTTGCAAACCAGAGTGGTTTTTTTTTTTAAATCTCTTAGGGGAAATTTGTTCTTTGGGTTTGTTTTTCTTTCTCCATTTTCTCCCCTCCCTCCCAATTTTTACCTACCTCCTCCTGGGGGGATGGGGGGAATCAGAGGCACTGATTTCAACTCAATCATTGTGATTGATTTGATTTGTGATGGAATAGACACTCCGCTGGTATATGGGAATGCGGTACAAGTTGTCCTTGACTTAACAGGCACAATCGGAAGCAGCAGCGTTTCTGTTGCTAAGTAAGGTGGTTGAGTGAATTGCACCCGATTTGACAACCTTTTTTTGCCAACGGTTGCTAAGCGGATCGCTGTAGTTATTAAATGAATCATGCAGTGTGCTGGCCTGGGAAAGGGGTTGTCTCCTACAATATTAATCCTTCCTTCCTTCCACCCTCCATCCCCATTTCCTTTCTTCCTTCCTTTCTCCCCATCTCCTTCCTTCCTTCCTTCCCCATCTCCTTCCTTCCTTTCTTCCTTCCTCATCTCCTTTCTTCCTTCCCCATCTCCTTCCCTTTTCTTCCTTCCCCATCTCCTTCCTTTCTTCCCCATCTCCTTCCTTTCTTCCCCATCTCCTTCCTTTCTTCCTTCCTTCCTCATCTCCTTTCTTCCTTCCCCATCTCCTTCCTTTCTTTCTTCCTTCCCCATCTCCTTCCTTTCTTCCTTTCTTCCTTTATTCCCCATCTCCTTCCTTCCTTTCTTCCTTCCCCATCTCCTTCCTTTCTTCCTTCCCCATTCCTTCCTTCCTTTCTTCCTTCCTCATCTCCTTTCTTCCTTCCCCATCTCCTTCCTTTTTCTTCCTTCCCATCTCCTTCCTTTCTTCCTTTATTCCCCATCTCCTTCCTTCCTTCCTCATCTCCTTTCTTCCCCATCTCCTTCCTTTCTTCCTTCCTTCCTCATCTCCTTTCTTCCTTCTCCATCTCCTTCCTTTCTTTCTTCCTTCCCCATCTCCTTCCTTTCTTCCTTTCCCATCTCCTTCCTTTCTTCCTTTATTCCCCACCTCCTTCCTTTCTTCCTTCCCCATTCCTTCCTTCCTTTCTTCCTTCCTCATCTCCTTTCTTCCTTCCCATCTCCTTCCTTCCTTCCTTTCTATTCTTCTTTGCTTCCTTTTCTTTCTTTTTCTTCCTTCCCTTTCCTTCCTTTTTTCTTCTTTCCCTTCCTTCCTTCCCTCCTTCTCTCTCCCTTTTCCCCGACTTTCTCAATTCTTTTCCTTCCTTTCCTTTTTTCTTTCCTTCTCTCCCTTCTCCCTCTCTCCTTCCTTTTACCTGTTTCTTTTCCCCCTTCCCTTTCTCCCTCCTCCTCTTCCTCCTCTCCCACGCTCTTTTTCTCCTTTCCCTTCTTCTTTTCCTTCTCTCCCTCCTTCCCTCCCTCCAAGAACCCGCTCCCAGCAGCGCCCCCATGGTGGAGATCATCGAGCAGCCCAAACAGCGTGGCATGCGCTTCCGTTACCAGTGCGAGGGCCGCTTGGCCGGCTCCATCCCGGGGGAACGCAGCACCGACACCACCAAGACCCACCCCACCATCAAGGTCAGCCTTCCCTGCTCCTCTTCCCCACCTGCCCAGAAAGACACCCATTTCCCAGAAGCCTTTGCGTCGGGGGGCTTTTAAAACCCAGTCCGGGCCGAGTGAAAACTTACCGGGATGTCATAGCAGGTTTGCCCTATAGATGGGGATGGTGAGCATCCTTCCTGCTATCCAGCTGGGTGGGAAGGTTCCCTCTGGACATGCTCACTCAGGTGGGCAGCCATTTTGCGAAGGCGCCCCCATGAAACCCAACCTTTCCTTCAGGGAGGAGGAGCAACCCTGAGACCCGTTTGCCTGGCCTCCGTCCAAGTCTTTTCCTTCTTGTGCCCCCAGATTCACAACTACCAGGGTCCGGGGAGGGTCCGGATCTCTCTGGTGACAAAGGAAGCCCCCCATCGGCCTCATCCCCACGACCTAGTGGGCAAGGACTGCAAAGAAGGCTACTACGAGGCCGAGTTGTCTCCGGAGCGCTCCATTCACAGGTGCGTCCCCGGGGCTTGGCGCTTCTTTCACGGGAATTGGGAGGTAGAAATTGGAAGGACATCACCTCTTGGTCTCTTTTCCTTTTCCGAGTGGCGCACTCACGCCTGCCTTTGTCCCCAGCTTCCAGAACCTGGGAATCCAGTGCGTGCGGAAACGGGATCTGGAAAAGGCCGTGACCAAGCGGATCGAGACCGGGAACAACCCGTTCAGCGGTAAGGAAGGCTGAGCCATTTGCGTTTGTGTGTGTATGTGTAATTGTGGTAAAAATGTGGAAAACTGTAACCGACCGCTTCATTCTTTAATGGTCTTCTAAATCTCCTGATGGTCTCCTTTCCTTTTTCTCTCCTCTTCCTCCCTCAGTGCCGAAGGAGGAGCTGAAAGATTACGACCTGAATGCGGTCCGACTCTGCTTCCAGGTCTGGATTCGAGATACGGGCACGGGGCACTTGATTCAGCTGCCCCTGGTGGTCTCCCAACCAATCTACGACAACCGTGAGCGATGGCCAAAAGCGGGGGGCGGGGGGGAGGGGAGGGGGACGTCGCTTGGTTTAGGGGAAGAGACTTGAGTGGCAGATCCACCAGCAAGTCATAAGTGTGAGGACCAAGCATAACTCACTTTTATACATTGCTGTTGTCGCTTCGAAGAGCCCCTGAAGGAATGGTTGTAAGCTGAGGACTACCTGTCCTTTAAAAGTGCGTAGAGTCAAGGCCACAGTTTTCCCAGTTGCAATGTACAGCTGTGAAAGTTGGATCATAAGAAAAGCCGAGCGCCAAAGAATGGAGGCCTTTGAACTCTGGTGCTGGAGAAGACTCCTGAGAGTCCCCTGGACTGCAAGGTGATCCAACCGGTCGGTCCTAGAGGAGATCAACCCCGACTGTTCTTTAGAAGGCCAGATCCTGAAGCTGAAACTCAAGTCCTTTGGCCCCCTAATGAGAAGGAAGGACTCACTGGAGAAGAGCCTGATGCTGGGAAAGATGGAGGGCAAGAGAAGAAGGGGACGACAGAGAATGGGGTGGCTGGATGGAGTCACTGAAGCAGCAGGCGTGAGCTTCAAGGGACTCCAGAAGATGGCAGAGGACAGGAAGGCCTGGAGGAACGTTGTCCGTGGGGTCGCGAGAGTTCAGACACGGCTTCGCAACAACAACAACCCGTCCTTTATTTTTTTTTAACCTTTCTGCAGGTGCGCCCAATACAGCCGAGCTGAAAATTTGCCGTGTGAACCGCAATTCAGGGACCTGCGTGGGGGGAGACGAAATCTTCCTTCTCTGCGACAAAGTGCAGAAAGGTAGGCCTTCTCCCGACACCCCTCGGAAACGTTTAAAAGTCCTACGGAGATTCTCCGTCATCCAGGCCACCGTTTTCCCAAAGGTGCTTTTTTGGGGGGGGAGGCCACTGGACTTCCTTTGTCCTTGAAGACGTTTCGCTTCTGATCGAAGGAGCTTCTTCCGGTTCTGACTGAGTGGTGGAGGGTTTCGATTCCTCACAGTCATCTGGCCCTTAGTGTTCCTTCTGAGAGCCGTCGGGGGCCCCTTGGAGGTTTATCTGGGCCCTCGGGGTCACCTGAGTAGTGCAAACGGGTGTGGAACGGTCCTTTCAGCAGTTCCAAGAAGGTCCTACACCAGTGGTTCTCCACCTGTGGGTCGGGACCCCATTTGGGGTCGAACGACCATTTCACGGGGGTCGCCAAACAAGGCTGTCCGCCATTTTTTTCCCCTTTTCTTTGGCCACGCCCTTGGCACCCGGTGATGTATAAGTGGTTGGGGGGTCACCACAACATGGGGAACTGTATTATGGCGTCGCGGCATTAGAAAGGTTGAGAACCACTGCCCTACACCCATCTGCGTTATTTGGCATAGATCAGTGGCGGCAAACCTATGGCACTCGTGCCAGAGGCGGCACTCGGAGCCCTCTCTGGGGGCACGCGCGCCATGCCTCGGAGATGGCAACCGTCCCTCTTCAACCAGCCGCGCGCTAACTCACCGAGGTCCCACGTGGCCGGATGCATCCCAGCACGGCTGGTTTCCCTCCCCCCTCCCCTCCCTCCTGTCCTCACATGCTCTTCTTTTCCCGGGCACGACCCACTGCATCCCCTCCTCAGCTATTGGCCAGCCGTCGAGCTCAGAGGCAGCTTCTCTGAATTGCTGGCAGCGGGCTGCAGAGCCCTAGAGTGTGCCGGTTGAGAGGCCGGCAGGCTGTGGCTGCTGACGGATACCGTCGGCCCCCATGCGCTCGCTGGCCTCTGTGTGCGGGGGCCGACGGTGTCAGCCTCCCCGGCCCCTGCATCGCCTTGCCCTGTGACAATAGCACCCCCGCCCCACCTCGCCTCCCCACCGCAGGATGAGCCTCTTTCCCACTGTCCCACCCACCAGAGACCCCCTGGATCTCCCCCAACCGTGTCCGGCCCCCACAGGCGTCCCTGCCCACCAGCAACATCGAGGTGACCACGCCCACCTTGGCCACCCCCACCCATTCTGCCATGACCACCACAGCCACGCCCACCTGGCCCCCAGCGACAAATAAGTGGTTTTGGGGTTGCAGTTTGGGCACTCGGTCTCTAAACGGTGCACCATCACTGGCGTAGGTAAACCTCCGAGTGGCCTCAACAATGCTCAGAGGGAGTACTAAGGACCAGATGACTGCGAGGAATATAGATCCTTCCACCCTCCACCATTCAGTCAGAACTGGAAGAAGCTCCTTCGACGAGAAGCGAAACGCCTTCAAGGAAAAACGAAGAAAGCCCAGTTGCCTTTCGGGGGGGGGGGGAACCACTTTTGGGAACTTCCAGAATGTGGGTTTTATTTATTGCCCATTTTCTCTCTCCCGAGCGTGTTTATTTTCCGACGCCCGGCATCATGTTTTGAAAGCGGTTGGTCAGTCCGGGGAGAGGCGCGTCCTCCCTTCCATTGCTTCTCCACCTCTCTGCTTCTCTTTCCTCCAGAGGACATCGAAGTCCGCTTTTTCAAGGATTCCTGGGAAGCCAAAGGCTCCTTCTCGCAGGCCGACGTCCACCGGCAAGTGGCCATTGTCTTCAAGACCCCGCCCTACGCGGACCAGGCCATCCGCGAACCCGTGACGGTCCAGATGCAGCTGCACCGTCCCTCCGACAAGGAAGTTAGTGGCTCCATGGAATTCCGTTATCTCCCGGACGAAGGTATCCGTTCGTTAAAATGTTTACTTGCTGTTGGGAAGATCAGGGGAAAATCTCTCTAGTCTGTTGCCAGCTTGGGTGGGTGGGGGGAATATTACAGCTGTGTCATAGGAGGAGTGTGTAAACTGGGCGCAATCCATTCAGAGGTATATTTTGGCATATTCTTGGCTTATCGGCGAGCATATATATAGTAGGTTGTTGACCCTTTGAGTGTCTACTGAGTGCAGGATAATTATGGGAAATCTTTTCTATCCATAAAAAATAAGTTGGTTTAGTAGTTATGGAAACCAGAAGCTGTGAATTCTAGTTCCATCTTAGGCATGGAAGTCAGTTCTGTCCCTTTGGGCTAATCACCGGGAGACGGTGAGTTCTAGTCCCATCTTAGGTCTGAAAGCCAGTTAATTGAGGGCCAATCACCAGGAGATGGTGAGTTCTAGTCCTGCCTTAGGCATGAAAGCCAGCTGAGTGACCTTGGGCCAATTACCAGGAGATGGTGAGTTCTAGTCCCGCCTTACACATGAAAGCCAATTACCAGGAGATGGTGAGTTCTAGTCCCGCCTTAGACATGAAAGCCAGCTGAGTGATTTAGGGCCAATCACCAGGAGACTGTGAGTTCTAGTCCTGCCTTAGGCATGAAAACCAGCTGGGTGACTTTGGGCCAATCACCAGGAGACGGTGAATTCTAGTCCCATCCCTGGCATGAAAGTCAGCTGGTGGACCTTGGGCCAGCCAGTCTGGGTCTGACCCACCTCACAGGGTTGTTGTCGTTGGGAGAAAAAGAGGAAGGAACATTAGGTGCTTTAAGTCAGTTCTGAAAATAATAAAGGCATAATAAACAAAATAATATCCTAGTCTATCTAAACTGACTCTCCCCCCCACTTCTTCCCTTTGGCAGGCGATTTCCATCGAATCGAGGAGAAGCGCAAAAGAACACTGGGCACGTTCAAGAACTTTGTACAGAAAACACCTTTTGCAGGTAAAAAGTTGGCAACGTTTAAAGAAAGAAAGAGAGAGAAGGGGGGGTCAACTCCATTTGAAAGAGCTAACCTGGGAAGTGGGGAAAGCCTCTTGGATTTGGTTGGGGCTAGGCAGGTGAGGAGGATATCCTTCAGGGGGTTTGGACTACAATGCCCATCAACTCAGACCTGGTCTAGTATGTCAGGCAAATAAAGTCATGGATGGGACCTTGATGAGACGTAAGGATCTCATTGATTTCAGGAGTAATGTGATCAAAAAGGCTGTTATTCTGTTAAAATAAAGGTTTAGAACAGGGATGTCCAACCTCAGCAACTTGTGGACTTCAACTCCCAGAATTCCCCAGCCAGCTGAGTGATTTAGACCAATCGCCAGGGGATGCTGGTGCAGGCTGGGGAATTCTGGGAACTGGAGTCCACCAGTCTGAACAATTGCCAAAGCTGGACACCCCAGGTTTAGAAACAGAGCTAAAAGGAGACAGGAAAACGGAGGCCGTGAAGCAGTCCAGATGTTTGCCCTTTCAGCCCAACTCAAAGGGAACGGTGGTTTTCCTTTCAAAACCACCAAAACAGGCTTATTTTTAAAGGTCAGCATTTCTGAAGCCGACATTCACGGTTTAAGCCCGTTGTTTTCTTTCCTCAACAGTAGGAACCACAGAAGCACAGTCTCCACGCCGCATTGCCGTTCCAAAACACGGAGCAGGCCGGCCTAATACCGGTGGTGAGTTCCACCTCGTTCCCAAATATTTTCGGACACCGCCGAGAGAGGTCTGGAAGGATTCGGAAGACGTTGAAAACCCGCATTTGGGTGGAAGTATGCAACTGTACAAGAGAATATTTGTAGCTAAGGGGTTGAACCGTAGGGTCCCTTGGTGCTCTCTGAAGCTGGGTGGTTTTCTTGCAGACGTTTCATGACCCAACTAGGGAACGTCGTCAGTGTTAGTAGGGAGGGGGCTTTGAGGAAGAAAAGGAAAAAGAGGAGGATTGTGGGGTCCTTGGGGCTCTCTGAGCTGGATTGTTTCCTTGCGGACGTTTCATGACCCAACTAGGGAACATTATCAGTGCTAGGAGGGGCAATCCCCACTCCCTTTTAGCAATGAGAACAATTGATCGGTGGAATGGCTTGCCACCAGAAGTTGTGGGTGCTCCATCGCTGGAGGTTTTTTTAAGAAGAGATTGGACAGCCAATTGTCTGGAATGGTGTAGGGTCTCCTGCATGAGCAGGGGTTGGACTACAAGACCTCCAAGGTCCCTTCCACCTCTTGTTATTCAGTAAGGGTCTCCAGCTTGAGCAGGGGTTGGACTAGAAGACCTCCAAGGTCCCTTCCAACTCTATTATTCTGTATTCTCTTTCTTTCTTTCTTTCTTTCTTTCTTTCTTTCTTTCTTTCTTTTTCTTTCTCTTTCTTTCTTTCTTTCTTTCTTTCTCTTTCTTTCTTTCTTTCCCTCTCTTCCCCCCCCCCTTTCTCTCCTTGCTTGATTCCAGTTCTCTTTTCTTGCTGGGGACGGAAAGACCCAAATGGGCCTGGTTTCCGAGATGGGTCAGTTCTCCGCTTTAGGCACAGTGAGCAAATTTCAGCCGTCGCTCATGTAGGATTCGAAACTCTCCAACAGTCTCCAGTTTTGAAGAAAGCCCCTGTAGCTTCTCATTCGCTTTGACCACAGCCCAAATTCCTAAGTAAGCCATGCTTTGCTTCTTCCTCCAGGCATGCCAGCCTTTCTAGGCGCATCAAGCCAGTCACCTCTGCGCCCGATTCAAAAGCCACAAATCCTGGCTCAGCCTCCTGCTGGCTTCTTTGTCGGGTCCAGCCACTCCACCCCGCCGCCTCCGGCGGCCTCCGCTGCCACCTCCGGCTTCAGCACCGTCAACATGGAGGACCTGTCGTGCCTGGGCGTCTCCCCACAGGCACCGCCCTCCTCCATGGACACCGAAAGCAGCATCGCCGACGCCTTCCTGCACCTCCACTTCGAAGGTGGGGATCCCCTGGGGGGCCTTTTGGATGACGCCCCCTACAGCAGCCTGGAGAGCATCAACACCACCGAGTTCCGGCAGCTGCTCAACGAAGGAGCCGGCCCCATGCCGCTGCCGGGGGACCACCAGGCGACTCTGCTAACCTACCCAGAATCCATCACTCGCTTGGTCAGCCAGCGGAGGGCGGGCGGGGAGCCCGCCGGGGACGGTGGGGGCCCCGCCGGTTCGACCGACAACAGCTTCCTCAATGGCCTCTTGGGGACCCTTCCCACCGAGGACAGCTTTTCGTCCATGGTTGACCTGGATTTGAACTCGATTCTCAACTCGTAAGGATCCCAGAGGTGGCCCGCTTGGTCTGGCTGATTGGAGACTCGCAAGTGCACTCTTCAGCGTACAGGGGCGCGCTTCCGGCTATTCTTGGGGACGTGGTGGGAAGGGTCAGCCTTCAAAGGCGGTGGGGGTGGGCTAGGCCTCTGCAAATTGGATGAGATGTTCTGGGTCACCCCCAAAACCCCCGTATGCCTTCTTTTTGGGGAGCTGAAGACATTTTTTTAAATACTGCGGGTTTAAAAACAAAAGAGGATCCGACTTCTTGTCCCCCGCTTGCCCCTTTTCCTACTCAGCTGGCCCACGTTGCCCCCCCCCCCCTTTTTTTTAAAAAAAAAAAACAACCTTGTAATAATTCCCTTGCCTTTAATGAGGCAGAAATCACCATACAGGCAGTCCTCGGTTTACAACCGTTCGCTTTGGGACCGTCCGAAGTTACAACGGCACTGGGAAAAAAAGTAAACGTATGGCCATTTTTCACATTATGACCGTTGCGGCATTCCCCTAAAGCAGTGATGGCGAACCTACGGCACGGGTGCCAGAGGCAGCACTCAGAGCCCTCTCTGTGGGCACGCGCGTTGTCGCCCCAGTCCTAGGCCTTCAGCTGGGTTTTGTAAAACCTTTTTGCTTTAGGCCTCCGCCGTGTGCAAAAAAAAAAAAAGGTTCAATCAATCAGTCAATTTCAATCTTGCAAAGTTGGAATTGATTGATTGAACTTTTAAGTCCCACTCAGTCTGCTGTTACCACCACAGCCACACCCACCCAATGGGTCACACCCACCCAATGGGCCACATCCACCCGGCACCCGACGATGCCTAAGTGGGTTTTAGGTTGCAGTTTGGGCACTCGGTCTCTAAAAGGTTCTCCATCACTGGCCTAAGGTCACGCGATCCAAGATTTGGGTGCTTGGCACCTGACTCAGAGTTACGACGGTCGTGGTGTCTCCCAGGGCCACGTGATTTCCCCCTTTTGCGACCTTCGGACGAGCAAAGTCGATGGGGAAGCCGAGTTCGCTTCACAGTCGTGTTACTAAGTGAACAACTGGAGTGATCCTTGGCAAGAAAAATGGGACAAAACTCACTTAAGAAATGTTTCACTGAACAGACATTTTGGGCTCAACTGTGGTCATAAGTTGAGGACTACCTGTATAGGACTGACACAATGCCCGTTGTTTTTGGCAAGGCACGGGAACTTTGATCGGGGTGCCTTTTTGTACACAGACTCGTTTTGCGCCTTAAAAATGCTGTCGCAGCTTTTCTGACGGGCCGAACTAAATGCTGGAATCTCCCCCCAGAGCGGGATGTGATGTTTTTAAACAAAGGCACAAGAATCCTGAAATGGTCCTTGTTGGGCTTTGCAACTGTGTGTTGGGAGGAGCAGGCCTGCTTGATTGTGTGTTCCTTAGATCAGCCACAAGACTAGAGCAGACAATGGAAGAGGACACAGAAGGAACGGCTGGCTGATGTTCAGGCACCCTAAAAAAAATTAAAGGGACTTCGTTCACGTAATAATGCACTGAGTTCGATTAACGGGAATCTGGCTTTGTAGAAGTGTCAACGCTTCTACTAACCGTGCTGGCTGGGTGAACACAACACCCGAAGCCTCAAAATATCTGAGGTATAGAGGGCGTTGTGTGAATGCAGCTGGCACCCCAAAAGGATAAGCGGCTTTTTTTTTTTCCTGCCTGCTTTCTGGCTTGAGCAAAAACCCAGTTAGGAGAGTGGCAAAGTTCGTCCGTTTAAGCCAAATGGAGAGGAACAACCTACACCTCCCCTTCGTTGTGTGGATTCTGATGGCATCCCACACACCACTCCTGCAGGGTGCAAAGAAGGGAGCTGCATCACAACCCTGCTGCCTTATTTCTTTTTGTACTATGCAACTATTCTTTTTTTTTAAAGCGGGAGTGGATGTTTAAAACATAGTTAACCTGCTGTTACTTTAATGCGTTTCTTTGTTTGTTTGTTTTGGTAATGTAAATTGACCGTACTCGTTTTGTTTTCTCCTCACTGTAGCAGGTTCTAATAAACTAAAGCCTCAGCACTGCTGTGTAGTAAGGTGTGTGTTTTGGGGGTTCTCCAAGGTTTTACAGGTAGTTCTTGATTGACAACGGTTAGTTCAGTGGCCGGAATGACAAGAACACTGACAAAAGTGAGTTAAGACTGTTACACTTACAACCATTATTTCATCCTTGTGGTTGTGGGATCAGAATTTAGACAATGGCAACTGGCCTGGATTTATGATGCTTGCAGTCTCCGGGGATCGTGTGATCCCCTTTTGCGATCTTCTGACAAGCAAAATCAATGGGGAAGGCAGAGTCACTTCACCGTGTTACTTATAACTGCAGCAATTCATTTAACTGTGGCAGGAAAGAATTCTTCCGCCACTATCCATGGACCACAACTCCCAGAACTCCCCATGCTGGCTGGGGAATTCTGGGAGTAGAAGTCCACCCTTCTTAAAGCATGCTGGCTAGGGAATTCTGGGAGTTGAGGCCCATCCCTCTTAAAGCATGCTGGCTGGGGAATTCTGGGAGTTGAGGCCCATCCCTCTTAAAGCATGCTGGCTGGGGAATTCTGGGAGTTGAGGCCCATCCCTCTTAAAGCATGCTGGCTGGGGAATTCTGGGAGTTGAGGCCCACCCATCTTAAAAGTTGCTACGGTTGCTAAACTCTAGAGCTTACTTGCTTACTATAGCAGAGCTGCGATAGTCAAAGGGACCTGATTTCCACTTTAACATTTCAGTTTTTACCCTCTTCAGGCCGTTAAAAGCTAAATTCAGGAAAGCATTATGTTCCCTCCATGCAAAACATTAGGGCCTCTTTGTTCCCTCTGCTCCTGGAACAGCCAAAGAGCTTTACTTTCCGACACTCAAAAGCGTTGAGAACTTCCCCAAACCTTTCGCAACCTGGGTTCAACTTAAAGGTGCTTTTCATCTATAAATTTCAAAAGTAAACTCTCAGAGGGAGGGGTGGGGAAAATGCCTTTTATTTTCAGTTTAGTTTACAGGTGAGCACAGCCAAGAATCACAAAAATAAAATTCAATTACTTCTGAGCAAAGATGGAAAGAAATATTTAGCCTACCTCTTGCCTAGCGTTTTTCCACTTCACGCATCCGTCAAAACTTAGTACTATTTTTCCCTCTGATGCTGCATTTGGATTTTGATATCTCCCCCCCCCCCCGCGCTTCCCAAACACCTTCCTAGATACCAGAAATTGGACACCGCAGCCAATTACTTCTTTGTACTGCTGGCGAGCCATTTTGCAGGAAAAGATTGGTAGGGATTATCTGTTGGGCTCTTGCTGCAATAAAAAGACAGTTCCGAAGCCGATCGGCTCGCACAAGGTTGTGCAGTGCACACAGTTTAGTGGTTCAAATGGTAAATGCAGAGGTCCACTCGTAGTTGTCAGAAAAATGGGGTTTTAAGCTTCTCAGCCAGAACTAACAGCCCCATGATGGAGGCAGAAATGCCATCGAGGCAAGCTTTGATCCAGCCCGCCTGCGGTTGGGCAAATCTACCACCTCTGAGAAAAAGAGAGTCAACATTGCACGGTGGGATTGTGTCGTCCCCAGTCTTAGTGTGGGAGCGTTAACACGCTCAAGAACGGGAGTTTTAAGTCACTTCGCTGTTGCTCACCTTGTTCGTGATACGGGAGCGCCGAGGGACGCATTCCAGATCAAACCTGCTTTCGTAAATGGTGGGGCAGAGATGCCAACGGTTGTCGCGGTAAATGCCCAGATAGGTGTAAGCATCAGGCTTGTAGGATAACAGGCACTTGACCCCTGTGGTCCGGATCACGGAATCGGCCATCAGCACTTGCTCTTCGTTGGTGAAATCGTCTGTGTACACGCAGATCACGTGTTTGCGATCCGAGTCGGGGCAGCAGGGGCTGACTTTGGCCACCCTGATTCGCCCTTCCAGGACTGCCCGGGCGATGCCACACCAGGCGTGGTCCACTTTGAAGCCACTGTCCAGGTGCATCAGCCACTTCCCGGTCAGGACCCGCCGGTTAAGGGCCAGTTCCTTGATCGACTCAAAAGTCACGTGGCGCCCGCTCAGCTGTAAGTGTTCCCAGTCCTCCTGCAGCCCTATGACATCGCCAGCTTCTGGAGAAAAGCTGGGGCTGTAGATGGCAATCCAGCCCACCGGCTCGGTGTTGCACTCCGGGTTTCCATAGCGAGAGACGCGGGATGGTTGGTAGGTCTGGAGCCATTCCTCAAATTCAGCTTTGGGGGTCTTGCGGGCGTCAAAGACCACCCAGGAATCCATGTCTGCGGCCATGGCTTCGGCAGCCAAATCCTCACTGGCAAAACACCCATCCTTCCCAGTCTCGTCATGCTGGCTAGCCATGGTTTGGCAAGGCACCTGATGGGGAAAATGTTAAAATCAGAAAGGGATCAACCCACTTCAGGCCACCGCTGGGAGCCAAGTCTAAATGGGCACTTGGTCTTTTCAGCTTAACCTGGGTTTCCACAGCACTCTGTACACTCCTATTGTAAGCCAGGTTTAATCCTGAGATTACTTTCCCCATTTACTCTTCCCTTAAGAACACTCCCAAGGGAATCATCTTAAAAGTTGCATTCATGGCCAAGATCCATCTGTAATTGGGCTTAGATTTAAGTTGTTCAAAATTGCTGGGCAACTCACAAGGGTCTATAATACTTAATTACAGAAACTGTAGGAGGAGCAATTTTAAAAAAAGCCTAGGAACTAGACTTAAAGGCTGGAATTATGAAAACCGCAGTTCCAAAATATCAAGAAGACACCTATTGGCAGAAAATTGTTGTAAAACCTTTTGAAGGGGGTAAACAATGCAGAAAAATGGGTGTCATTCAAGTGAATGGGAACGAGAGTTTTAGGATATATAGATCATTCTTAAATCCTCTTAATTTTAATAGCTGGCTGAGGAATTCTGGGAGTTGAAGTCCACAAGCCATAAAAGGGCCAAGTTTGAAGACCCCTGCTTTAGGCATTAGTATTATTGTTGGGAGGCTTAATGTATTTAATACATTGTTAAAGTATTAAATGCTATAATATACTAACCACCGGTTATAATCGTAATAACGCCTCACCAGCTTGGGGAACACATTAAGTCTTTTAAACAGCGTTTCAAAACATGAAAATATCAATCTTCCCTCATCTCTGCTCCCTCAGACAAGCCCCCTTCGCCCTCTTGCACGAGAAAAGTCATATAAAAATAAAACTACAGCAAGGACGGGGATGGCACCGTCCTACCTTGCAAGGCTGTGGTGAAGCAAAGCAGGCAGGAGACTCCACGGCGGGAGGGCAAAATTACCGAGCCTGCGGGATTACGACGGCCGCCATTCGTGAGGACCCATTTCTATACACCCCTTCCCATTTTCAGGCCGGCCCAGGGAGGGAGGGGAACCGAATAACGGGGGTCAACCCCCCCCCACCTGTACCCCAAACCCGCCCTCCAGTTTAGTCTTCCACAATCCCGTCCCCCGTTACCGTCACAACGGCCCCGGGCCAACGGAAGAACGAACGCGCACACCCCGGAAGTGGACGGGGGACCAAAATAGTGATGGACCGGAAGGCCTAAGGAACTGAAATGCGGCGGAGTAAGCCGCCTCGCCCTACTTTGCCTCTATTTTTATTCCTTCTATTTGGCCTCAGCATTACTTTGTTTATGCTTCTCATTATGAATTTTGCATATTTAAGAATTATCCACTTCGGCCGAGACATGAAAGAACGGGAAGAAGGCCCGTCAAGCCAGTCGCTGCCATTTTGGTCGCCATTTCTCTATGGGCGCGTGGAGCGCCGCCGCTCTAGGATTTGACACGCCCAATAGCTCAGCCCACGCATCCATCCATGTGTTTCCACATGGAGTGGGAGGCACTTCCGTTGTGAAACGGAAGTGGCGGAAGAGCCAAGTTCAGGCTGATGAAACTCAATGTTTCCCTACTATAGTAACTTTAAGAAATAGGTTAAACTCCCAGAATTCCCTGGTCACACCTCTTAAAGTTGCTATGGTTGGAAAATGCTGGTCTCAGCTCTTGAAAACAAAATATATCGGTTAAAATCTATGTAACAATTCCTTCTTTCTTTCTTCTCCGCAGCCAGCAAAAGGCGATATAACATATCTTCCTGAAATAAAGGAGTAAAAATATAAATACTATATAAATAAAATGTAAATCGGACAATTCTATGACAATAGCACATTCTCTCTACCTTAGCTTCACACAATAGCTTCACCCAAGCCATAAAAGAAATAGAAAGGGAAGATATGAAACAAAGGATGAAAATAGCATGGTTTGGGATATGTTCCAGTTATGGAATGATTGCTGAACCATCAAGGTTATGTGTAATTAATATAAACATCTGTAAGTCACAATATTTCACATTTGGCATGCTGGCTGGAAAATTCTGGCAGTTGAAGTCCATCAATCATAAGGCATGCTGGCTGGAGAATTCTGGGTGTTGAAGTCCACGCATCTTAAAGCACTCTAGCTGGGGAATTCTGGGAGTTGAAGTACACCCATCTTAGAGCAGGCTGGCTGTGGAATCCTGGGAGTTGAAGTCCTCCTATCTTAAATTTGCAAGGTTGGATCAAAGCTCAAACCAACTCAAAGGACTGCAAAGACCCAACCAAGCTTTACTCCAACAACCAAGTTACTCCTCTTGTACAAAACCAACATTTCTCAAAACCTATTCTCCAAAGCAGCTGAAGGCAAGACAAGAATCAACTGATGGAGACTAATCAAGGAGAGAAGCAACCCAGAACTAAGGAGGAATTTTCTGACAATAAGAACAATTAAACAGTGGGACAGTTTCCCTCCGGAAGTTGTGGATGCTCCATCCCTGGAGATTTTCAAAATGAGACTGGACAGCCATTTGTTTCAAATGGTAAAGTCTCCTGCTTGAGCAGGGGGTTGGACCATAAGACCTCCAAGGTCCCTTCCAATTTTGTTATTATGTTAAGCAGTGGAACCGCTTGCCTCCAGAAGTTGTAGGTGCTCCATCAGTGGAGGCTTTTAAGAAGAGACTGGACAGCCACTTTTCTGGAATGGTATAGGGCAGGGGTAGGTAACCTTGGCTCTTTTATGACTCATGGACTTCAACTCCCAGAATTCCTGAGCTAGCCATGCTGAGGGAAAAGGGAGAGGTTTCCAAGCCGAGCCAGGCTGGCTCAGGAATTCTGGGAGTTGAAATCCATAAAAGAGCCAAGGTTGCCTACCACTGCTATAGGGTCTCCTGCTTGAGCATAGGAATAATAATAATAACAACAACAACAAATTCACTATTAGTCAATTGCAAAAGGCGGCCTTACTAGGAACTGCTTCCATCCTGCGACGATATCTGTAATACCATCAAACATCCACATCTGCCTATCCCAGGTCCTGGGTAAGGATAGGTAGACAAAATGCCAAATCCAGTCTGAACATCTGGCTGACTGTGCGATGATCAATAATAATAATAATAATAATAATAATAATAATAATAATAATAATAATAATAATAATAATAATAATAATAATGTTAGAAGGGATCTTGAAGTAGAATAGAACAGAGCTGGAAAGGACCTTGGAGATCACCTAGTCCAACCCCCTGCTCAGGCAGGAGACCCTATACCATTTCAGACAAATGGCTGTCCAGTCTCTTCTTAAAAACTTCCCACGTTGGAGCATCCACCCCTTCTGTTTGGACCAAGTTGACCTCCCAGGTCCCTTCCAGTTCTGTTCTTCGGGCCAGCTTGGGCAAGGTTAGAGGTTTCCAGCGGCTTGCACCCCAGGGCCCTCTGCACATGCTTAGAGGACGCGTTCTCTCCTACCCACCCTAACCTTTGCCCTCGTCCGGGTCTGCAGATGAACGGAGGCCCTTCCAGGCCGCCTTGCTGCGGATGGAGGAGGAGGAGGAGGGAGGTGGGCGGCGCTAGGACCGCGCGGGGGCGGCCGGCTCCTCCCAGGCCGCCGCCGCTGCTGGAGCCTCGTCCGGTGCGGGGCTCGCGACAGGCCCGGGCGGAGCGGCCGCTGCTGCTGCTGCTGCAGCCGGCGCGACGGGCGAGATGCCGAGCAAGAAGAAGAAGTACAACGCGCGCTTCCCCCCGGTGAGAGCCCGATCCCGCCCCCGGGACGCAATTGCACCCCCCTAGCCCAGCTGGGGCGCCCCGGGCGGGCTGGGCGCCCCCCCTCTCCCCGGAGGGGAAGGGGGAAGGATAAAACGAGGGGAGGGGGCTTGATTGCAACCGGGGAGACCCTCTCCTCCTTAGGGAGCGCCCTCCGCCGCTTTGCAGCCCCCTAACCCCCTTTGCAAACTCTCTCCTCTCCTTGGGCAGCCCCCTCCTCCTTTTAAAGCTCCCCTTTCTCCCCCCCCCTTGGCGACCCCCTCCTCCTTTGGGGACCCCCTTCCTCCTCCTTTTGGAGCCCCCTTTTAAAGGACCCTCCTTTGCCACCCCTTCCTTCTTTGGGGACCCCCGTCCACTCCCGCTTTGCAGCCCTCCTTTCGCGAGCCCCCCCTCCTCTGCTACCGCCCCCTCCTCCTTTTGCAAGCCCCTTTTTCCCCTCTTGCAGATGCCTCCCCCCCCTTTGGTACCCCCTCCCCCTTTTTTGCGGCCCCTGTCCCTCTTTCTGTCGTGCTCCTTTTTTTGCAGCGGATCCAGGAACTCTCCCCCCTCCTCCGCAGGGTTTCCTTCGCCCCCACCTCCACTTCTGTGGAGTGATGGGCCCCTTCCCCATTGCGCTTCCTGGGGGGGGTCATGAAAGCCAGCCCCCTCCCCCTCTTCTGCCCTCCTCATCCCTGTCTTGCAACTATCCCTGCTGCAACAGCTGTTCCTTGCCTCTGGGTTTTCTAAGCTGCCCCCCCTCGCAGAAACAGATGTTGGAGACTCTTTTGCAATGGGGGGGGAGACACCCCTTGCCCCCCTTCCTCCAGGGTCCAAGCTGAGCATTCACTGCCCCCATAAAGGGTCTTTCCACCTCTGGCGAATCCTTAACTTGGTTTATTGGCTGTCTTGCCCTGGTAGGTAAACTATGGTTTATGGCTTCAGGATAGCACATCGCCTTCCCGATGTGCTGTTTTTGGGTAACCCCTGTCATTTCCTAGACAGCAGTAGAATCGATCAGCCTGGCTGGGGATTATGGGCGTTGCACCCTGCGATGGCAGGTAGAGATTATAAGGATTATGGTCCAGCGCCATTTAAAGTCTCAAATTATTTTGATAATGTTCACCTTACTTAGGCTGTCTTCTTCACTGTCCCTGCCTATAATAATCTTTTTTTTTTATTTTGCTACCTATTAGGACACTAAATATATTTTGGTGTTACGGTACCTTTGAATTCTTTCCCATTGGATAATGCTGATGTTTTTAGTAATCCTTCTACCGCACGATTGCTGTTTCTTGTTTGTTGCTGATCCCGGTCAGGCTACCATTAATCCTCAACTTATGACAATTCATTTAGTGACCGTTCGAACTTACAATGGCACTGAAAAAAGTGACGTGACCGTTTTTCGCCCTTGCGACCTTTGTAGCATCACGTGGTCAAAAGTCAAATGTTTGGCTACTGACTCGCCCCGGGGTCATGTTTGCAACCTTCTGACAAACAAAGTCAGTGGGGAATCTGGATTCACTTAACGACGGTGTCACTAACTGAACAACTGCGGTGATTTCCCTTAACAACTGTAGCAAGAAAGGCCGTAAAATGGGAGCAAAACTCACCTAATAACTGTTTTGCTTAGCAAGAGAAATTTTCGGCTCAATTGTGGTCGTAAATTGAGGACTACCTGTATTACGACTCATTGTGTTTTTATTTCCAGTAGCTTAAAGGGGGGGAACCTCATTTTCCATTTTATTGGAAAACCTTATTTCCCATCCTTAGGATGTTATTATGGGTGTGTATTAAACTATGGTTTGTTTTAGCTCTGGTTTACTACGGGAACTTCAATCGCTTGGGCTTCGTCTGAATTGGGCCATAATGTAGTTCATTGGTGGCTTAGCTGTTACGCCGAGTTAAACATTCGGTGTGTAAATTGTGGTTCGTGTCAGAGTGCCTTGTGCCATCCACCGACGTGTGGTTAAGTCAACAAACCTAGGTTAAGCCATGGGCCTTTCGGAGAGCACTTGGCTCTCCTTAATACAACCTGGTTTTTTTCTCTTTATGTTTGTCCATCTTTCTTCGTTTACACTCACCTTAAAATAAATACATTTGCAGGATCTGTAAACAACCTGGTTGCATTTTAATTCCAATACTAGCTTTTATACCTCTGTTTTCTGAAGGTGTAAAAAGATTTTTTTCCCTTCTATCTAGTTGATGTCTAGGAAGATTCTCCGTCATCCAGGTCATCGTGGTATCAAAAATGCTTTTTATTTTGGAAAAGGCAACCCGCACGGATTTTTCTTCTGGTTGTCCTCAACACACGACCACAACTGAGCCCAAAATTTCTGTGGCTAAGTGAGACATTTGTTAAGTGAATTTCCTCCCATTTTGCAACCTTTCCTGGCCACCGTTGTTAAATGAATCAATTGCAGTCGTTAAGTTAGTCACGTGGTTGTTAAGTGAATCCAGCTTTCCCCCCCCCCGCCCTGGATTTTGCTTGTCATAAGGTCGCAAAAGGGGGTTACGTGACCCCCGGGACCCTGCACACCGTCATAAATAGGAGCCAGTTCCACGTCCAAATTTTGATCACGATGCTGCAATGCTCATAATTGTGGAAATTGGTTGTAAGTCGCGTTTTTCGCTGCTGTCGTAAGCTCGAACGGTCACTAAATGAATTGCTGTAAATCGAGGACTATCTGTATTCTCTCCTGGTGTGCCAGCTTTTCTGCTTTATTCCATACAGTAGTGGCCAAAATTGTGGAAACCTTTCAGGAAAAGTGTATTTGTGAGGTTTGATGGCTAATAACACCACTTTTGGGGGGGAGCAGTACCATAAAGTTATATAGCAACGGAAAGATCATTTAATCAAGCATGTAATGCAACAAAGTTTGTTCAATTATCTGTATTCTGTGAAAAGTTACAGCCAAAGAACCAGAAAAAGGAAGCACAACTTGCTTAGGTTGATCTCAGGTAGCTTTCCTTCATCTGACGTTAGCCAATGAGCATGGGTGTTTAGAGAGCCAATCGGGTGTCCTCTTGTTTTGCCGATGAGCCAATCAGATCACAGTAGGATTCGGTTATCGATGTCCCGTATTGCATTGCAGCTGAGCGGAGGACATTTGTCAGTGTGTGATGTGATCGCTATCAAGTTGTGGGGGGTTTTTTTGTATTCTTTCCATTAGCGAGCTTGCAAAACGTCATAAAATTAAAGCCATGGTGCAAAGAGCTGACTGGTCGCCCAGCAAGCGATGTAAAATAGTATTATTAAGCGAACAAGGCTACAGCTACAAAGAAATTAGTAGAAAAATGGGTGGGAACATAACCAAAGGTGGCATTTCTAAGTTTTTGAAGAGGTATAAGAAGACTCAGTCACTACAAAACCACACTGGCAAAGGCAGGAAAAGGTGCACAACAGCAAAGGACGATAGAAGAATTAAGAGGCTGTGCCTACGAGACAGAGGAAAATCATCGGGGTGTATACAGGATGAAATGGCGCAATGCAGTGTGAAGCTGAGTGCAAGGACTGTTCGGCGCAGGCTGCAGGAATTTGGCCTAAAATCTAGAATTCCACGAAAAAAGCCACCTATATCTGTCAAACCAAGCTTGAAAGGAGTAAACTGGGCTAAAACCCATGTTACTGTAAGTATTAACTGACATGGTGATCATTTTTGTATATCTCGCTTTTTTCTGCATGTTTCACTTTTCTTCTTTGTAACTGCTATTCTAACAGCAAATCCTTCCTAAAAGTTATTGCATTACATTCTTGATTAAATTATCTTTCCATTGATATATAATTTTATAGTGTTGCTCCAAAAAAAGTGGTGTTATTAGCCATCAAACCTCAAAAATACACTTTTCCCAAAAGATTTCCACAATTTTGGCCACTAACTATGTGAATAAATGACAATTCCTTTTTGTTTAAAGAAAGTATCTCTTAGCAACTGCTGAGCCCGGTTACCTTGTAAATGGAAAATAGATCTTTTATTTCTGTGGGTTTGGGGACAGAAGGCTAAATAATGGCCAGATTGGACATAAATCACTCTTTGGGGGAGAGTTTGTCATCCTTATTTTGTTTGATTTCTTATTAAATAAATAGAAATATTCTCGGTAGTCCTCAACTTGGCAACGGTTCGTTTAATGACCGTTCGAAGGTACAGCGGTACCGAAAAAAGTAACTGGGGATACTTTTTCAGACTTACGGTCGTTGCAGCATCCCCGTGGTCACATGATCAAAATTCGGACGCTTCGCAGTTATGACAGTTGCAGCGTCCTGGAGTCTTGTAATCCCCTTTTATGACCCTTGGAGAAGCCAAATCAATGGGGAAGCCCAATTCACTTAACAACCAGGTTACTAATTTAACCACTGCAGTGATTCGCATAACAACGGCAGCCAGAAAGGTTGTCAAGTGGGGCAAAACGCAGTTAACAAATGTCTCACTGAACAATAGAAATTTTGGGCTGAATTGTCGTCGTAAGTCGAGGAGTAACTGTAATGGGCTTTATTGTTGCCCGTTGTACCCGGGGTTTCCAATTTTGAGCACAGCGAAGATGTTAAAACAGGAATCCGCTGATTCAAAACAGCTGGTTGGCAGGGCTGAAAAATGCGCTTTAAAAAGAACAAAAAAGTTTATTATGAGATTAAATAGAAATAGAAACCGAAGCCAGGGAAGAGAAAGAAGGGAGAAGGGAGATGAAGAAGAAGAAAAAAAGAGTGACTTTCCTTTTATTTTTTTCCTCAGGGCATAGCCTTGAACCTCTGCTTTATATTTCTCGCTCTTGAAACCATTTCTATAACAACCCAGTCATTCTGGTCATCATAACCTCAAAACAAGAGTTTCATCTATTTTTCTTTTATTTTTCAGTCTCAAGGACAAAAAGCCAGAAGCCATTTTTCAAGTAGAAAGGAAAACTTAAATTAAGTTTCTTCTCTTTTTAATTAAAGTCCAATTTGCCATCTCACGTGTCTCCATCCTCTTGATCATCCGTTCTTCCACTGTGAGAATCCGTTCGTCTTTCCCTCGTTGTGCACACACGCAGTCCTCGGCTTACGACCGCAATTGACCCGCAACCTTTCTGCGACTAAGGGAGACCGTCGTTAACTGAGTTTTGCCCCATTTCCCGACTTTCCTTGCCACGGTTCTGGCATTTGTTCAGTTAGCAACACGGTTGTTAAGTGAATCTGCCTTCCCCCGTCGACTTTGCTTGTCAGAAGCTCACAAAAGGGGATCCCGGGACACTGCAACCGTCATAAGTATGAGTCAGTTGCCAAGCGTCTGAATTTTGATCACCTGACCCTGGGGAGGCTGCAACGGTCGTAAGTGTGAAAAAGGGGTCCTAAGTCACTGTTTTTCAGTGCCGTTGGAACTCTGAACGGTTGCTAAACAAATTGGAAGTCTAGGGCTACCTGTACTTGACCTATTTCGAAGCTTGTTTATTATAGAACCAGTTAATAAAACATTTCTCTCTCGTCTCCCCATTCCTCTTTCTCCCCCCCCCCCCCATTTTAAAGGCTCGGATCAAGAAGATCATGCAGACGGATGAAGAAATTGGCAAAGTGGCCGCTGCAGTCCCAGTGATCATTTGTATCCTCTTTGCAGTCCTGTGGGGTGGATGGGGGGAGTGATGGGGGTAGCAGGAGGTCTTCTGTGTTCTGGAACTGCAGACATTCTAGGACTGGGGGGGGGGTCCTTGGTGGTTTTCCTGCAGACGTTTCGCCATCCAACTAGGTAACATCATCAGTGCTGGAAGGGAGGGGAGTTTGAGGAAGAGGACGAGGAGAAGGAGGAAAAGGACTGTGGGGGTCGTTGATGCTCTGAGTTTGGTGCTTTTCCTGCAGACGTTTCATGACCCAGCTAGGTAACATCATCAGTGCTTGGGGTTGCAGAAGGGAGGAGGACTGTAGGGTCCTTGGGGCTCTCTGAGCTCGGTGGTTTTCTTGAGGACATTTCATGACCCAACTAGGTAACATCATCAGTGTTAGAAGAGAGTGGGATGTTCAAGGAAGGGAGAAGGAGGAGGAGGCGGTCTCCAACTGTGGGGTCTTTTCTGCTGTCTGAGCTTGGTTGTTGTTTTTTTTCTAAATTTTCATTATCCAACTAGGTAGCATCATCAGTGGCAGAAGGGAGTGGGGTCTGTAGGGGAGAGAGGAGCAGGAGGATTGTGGGGTCCTTGGGGCTCTCTGAGGTGGGTGGTTTTCCTGCAGACGTTTCCTGACCCAACTAGGTAACATCATCAGTGTTTGTAGACAGCAAACCCCACTCCCTTCCCGTACTGGTGATGTTACCTAGTTGGTAAAGATGGTATGAAAACCGTCTGCCTTGACTGGAGGAGGGAATGGGGTCGGTCTTGCTGTCCCCCTTAACTCTGGGCTGCAGCGCGGGCGCTAGAGCTGTTCCTGGAGTCGCTGCTGAAGACCGCCTGTCACGTCACCCAGTCCAGGAACGCCAAAACGATGACAACGTCTCACCTGTGAGTATGTCGGCTGCAGATCCCCTCTCTTTTTAGGAACAGATGCCCCCTCGCTCGTCAGAGCAACTGCCATCGTTGTAGGCCTTGCTGAGCGCCAAGGGACTGAACTATCAGGGGTCTCCCTTCTTTGTAACCATGAGGACTAGAATCCTATCTGAGGCTTCAAAGGGAAGGGCACTGGTTGGTTGTAGAACAAGGCAACATATATTATTTTTCTCCAGAATTAAGTACAGGCTAACCATGGGCCCTCTCCAACCTCTGTTGGCTGGGGATGATGGGATCGGCCTGGAGGAAAAAATGACTTAACGGCCGTTATTACATTTACAGCATCCCCGCGATCGGGTGATCAAAATTTCAGACCCTTTTTCACGCCACTGCTGCAGCGTTCCCGGGCTCACATGGTCAAAATGGAAAGGTTTGGCCGCTGACTCGTATTTATGACGGTCGCAATGCCCCTGGGGGGGTCACACGACCCCCTTTTGTGAGCGTCTGACAAGCACAGGCAACAGGAATGGCCGTGTGACTCATTTAGCAACTGCAGTTATTCATTTAACAGCTGTGGCAAGAATGGGGCAAAACTGGGGCAGAATTCACTGTAACAACCGCCTCGCTTAGCGACAGAAACTTTGGGCTCAAATTGTGGTCGTACGTTGAGGACTGCCTGTCATTAGAAATACATAATACATAAATCATTTGGAATTCACTGTTCACTGATAACGGATGGCTTCCTGGGGGGTGCCACAAGCCCCTTGCCCTCCTCCAAAATGGGAAGCAGATCTCTGCAGATTTAAAAAGCATAGTCCTCCTTTCTCAACCTTGCCAGCTTGGGTGGGCCAAATCCGGGTAATGCGACCTTGTGAATTTTGCAGGAAACAATGCATAGAACAGGAGCAGCAGTTTGACTTCCTGAAGGATCTCGTGGCTTCCGTCCCCGACATGCAAGGCGACGCCGAGGACAACCACCTGGAAGGGGAGAAGGTTTCTCGCAGGTAGGTGGCGAAAATCAAGGCAAGGGAAATCGTGAAATGTCTCAGTTAACAACAGAAATTTGGGGCTCCGTTGTGGTCGTAAGTCGAGGACTACCTGTTTTTGTCCACCTTTTTTAATAAAACTTTTTTTTTCCCCTCTTCTGCGGCAGGGGACGGAAAGCTGGCAGTGGACGAAGGAACGGCGGCACAGCGGGCAAAGGAAAAGATGCCAAGCAATCTGGCACAGACTCAGAGCAGGATGTAAGTTGGCAGCAAAGCGTGGAAGAGCAGAATCTGTGTAATAAAACTGAAGACTTTATTATTATTATTATTATTATTATTATTATTATTATTATTATTGTTATTTTTATAACCAGATTTTATTAATTTTTTATAATCACAAATCCTTCATATTTTATCCGCAATATGTTGCCTGGGTTCCAAAATTTAGCTTACTAATACGTGTTAAACTCCTTTCTCTCTCTTGTTTTTCTCGCCATTGATAAAATGTATCCTGTGTTGTAAAGCGGGGGTCTTCAAATTTGGCCCTTTTATGACTTGTGTAAGTCGAGGACTACCTGTATAGAGGGGGTTGGACTAGAAGACCTTGAAGGTCTCTTCCAACTCTGCTATTCTGTTTTGTTCTGTTCTTTTTTTTTACAGGACGATTCAGAAGACAGCGAAAGCAACGGAGAAGAGGAAGCTATGCAGACGATCCCCTCTACACAACCGGCTACACATCTCTCTTCGTAATTAACATTTTTCTCATTTTTTTTCTCAGTCGCTTGCTGATTGGTCCAATGTCCCCTAGCTGGCTTTCCTGACTAATTCAGGACTAGAACTCACCGTCTCCTGGTGATTGGCCCAAAGTCACTCAGCCAGCTTTCATCCCTCAGGTGTGACTAGAATTCACAGTCTCCTGGTGTCTGGCCCAAAGCCACCCAGCTGGCTTTCATGGCTAAAATAGGACTAGAATTCACAGTCTCCCACTTTCTAACCACGGGCCTTCTCCACTAGACCAAATGGCTCTTTTAACTTAATCCCACAGGGACGAGTATCTTGATTTTTCGGCGGGTGGCGCCTAAAACATGGCTGATTCTTCTCTCTTTTTCTCTCCTTCCCACAGACCCCCTGCACCCTATCTACATTTTACACCCCCTCCCGTATCCGCTGTCCCCTTGCCCGTACCGGCTCCAACAGGAACAGTCCCAATTGCACTTCTGCCCGCATCCCTGGCGCCGGTGCAGGCAGGTGAAGAGGAAGACTATGACTCTTAACACCCAGTTCCGTTTTCACTGCTGCCATTCGGGGTGGGAGGGGGGTGGGCGGGAGGGGATCCTAGCGGGTTTGAAAGGGGCTGTTCTTAAATTTATTAAAAAAGAGAAAAGTCTTCAAGAGGTGATCATGGGTTCTTTTTTTTTTTCACACACCTGGGAATGGCAGGAGGAATTAGAGGTTTACGGCCACCATTGAGGCCAAAATTTCTGTTTGCCGAGTGTGACGTTTGCTCCATTTTACGACCTTTCTTGCCACCATTGTTAAGTGAATCGCTACACGGTTGTTAAGCGAGCCTGACTTCCCCATTGACTTTGCCTGTCAGAAGGTCGCAAAAGGAGATCCCGGGACGCTGCGACCGTCATAAGTATGAATCAGTTGCCAAGCGTCTGAATTTTGATCATGTGACCCTGGAAATACTGCAGTGGGTGTTAATGTCACAAGCCCCTTTTTTTCCATGCCATTGTGATTAGCCAGTTGTAAGTCGAGGACTGTCTATACTACAGCTGTTCTAATGGGCCTACTCTCTTTTTAATCAACAATTCGAGCCAACGTAAAATTGGAGATGTTTTTCCCAACAAGTTAGGGAGTAACGACTCCATTAGCACAACACGTTCAACCTGCTTTGTGGTTCAGCCCCCTTTGCCACGTTCACAAACACACTGAGTCATCAACTTACCCAACCGGCTGGCTTTGCAACCGACGTTAAACCACACGGGCAGAAAGAAATCGGCCGGATTAAAACTACAAATACAGCTTTCATTGACCCCTTTTTTTGCAAGCCGGGCTTTTTCCTGACCTCCAGAAAAAGCGGTCAGAAAAAGTAAGCTATTTTAAAAACAAATTTGCTGATTGGCTATCAGCATGTAATTTAACACAGTTATAGCATCCCTGGATCTTGTGACCGCCATTTGCGGCCTTCACAGGAAAATCAATGGAGTAAGCCGGATTTGCTTAGCAACCGCGAGACAAGATGGCCACCATGTAGCAGCTCTTTTAGTGAGCTCCTCATCCTCTTAGTTTTATATGGTTGTAAAATAGTAAAATTACATCTTGAGAGCAAGCAGAGCCGGGGTTTGATCCTGAGCAAAAATGATTTTTTTTTTCTGGTTATTTTTAGAGGTGGAGGAAAATAAAAGGGGGCTTGGTCAGGGACGACACAGCTGAACCCAAAATCTCTGTGGCTAAGCAAGACAGTTGTTAAGTGAATTTGTCCCCCTTTTACAACCTCTCTTGCCACAGTTTTAAGTGAATCACTACAGTTGTTAAGTTAGAAACATGGCTGTTAAGTGAGTCTGACTTTGCTTGTCGGAAGGTTACAAAAGGGAATTGTGTGACTCCCCCGGTATGCTGTGACCGTCATAAATATGAGTCAGTTGCCAAGTGTCTAAATTTTGATTATGTGATCTTGGGGATGCTGCAATGGTCCTAAGTGTGAAAAACGGTTGTGTTACCTTTTTCAGTGCTTTGGCAACTTTGAACGGTCACTAAATGAACGGTTGTAAGTCAAGGACTACCTGGAGTGTATATTCTACCCAAAAAAAAATATCTTAAAAAGCCATGTCCAGATAAGATAATCTTTATTGTCATTTTTTTACTGTGAGCACAATGGCACGTTAAAAATTAATTTGTTTTCTGCCTCTCAAAAGTGTAATACATGCATAACTCACATATAAACATGCTATGTACATATGCATATACCTACACCCTTACATACAAATACATATAAATATCAATCATAATATTATTTAGATCTTCTAAGCAAAGTCCTTGAAGGAAAGCTGCAACATTTTATTATATCCCTCACGGATTATTGCAATAACTGTATCGCTTTCTTGATCTACCTCTCCTTGATATCTTCGCCCAGTTGGCTGGTGGATCCCTTCTCCTGTTCAGTGGAGACGATGACCTACGGGCACTTGCAGGAGACCTTGGTACTCCGAGCACGGGACGGAGACAACTGTGGATTCCCAAGGGATGTTTTCTGTGACTGGCCTCTCCTCATTGCACAGACCTCTGCATGTCACAAGGCAAAAAGCTGCAAGGAAAGAAACGCAGGGCTTTAGCAGGGCATCACCAATTGAGCAGCTGCTTCACTGTAAAACAAGAGAAGTCAGCAACTTTTAAACCGGCTTACTTCCAAAATATTAACCTGCCCTGCACTAATTTTTCATAAGAAGGGAAATCAATTAGAAGACAGCCTAGTTTTACACCTCCAACTTTGCTTACTCACTGCATGCCTTTTTCGGAAGCTGTGGTTCCCCTTCAGCGCATAAACACTTTAGCAGATGTTAGCTGCTGCTTTTACAGTTCCGAAGTAGCAGGATCCGCTCCAGAAATCCCTTCAGTGTTTGCCCTGATAATTTGCTTCCGTTACCTACCTTGCCACTAATAACAAGCGTAGATTGTAAGATGACTGTCTCCTCTGCATCAGCAAAGTAGTAGCTACTTTTTTAAAGATAAAACCAGAGATCAAACTGTTTAATATTTAGGAAGGAAAAAAAATGAAAGTAAGATCTGAGGTTATGCTCTGAATGCAAAAAGCTTTTTTTCTGCATAATCTATTCTCCTAGATGGATACTAATGAAAGCAGTGCCCCAAATATATGTTGGTATTTAATATTTTTAAAAATACGCCTTTGATGGTTTCTACATTCTTTCCTTTGGGCATGTTTCTGCTGGTGTACAAAAGAGCCAGTCATTGCTGGAAACTAGCTTAAAACTAAAATCAGGAAAAACACACAGCCTGTTCCAAGTTCATTCTCAACAAATTTTATTTTTGAAGGAAGGCATCCCTTTTGTCTTGCATCAGATTGTATTGCTAATATATTGTTTCTCTTCTGACTGCTTTGTTTCTTGGTATTGGGCTTCTTATCACCTCCGCAGGACTTGTATGACCACGTTCAGTTCACAACCGGCTGCGGGTTTATGCCTGGATAGGAGAAGGCATTACACACACACTGACACACAACGTCGCAACCGCCAACCTCACCTGAGCAGCTTCGGCCCACCTGGCCGTGATGAGACGCCTCGCGCGCCGCCGTTTCCATGGCAACCGCTCCGGGAGCCGCGGCCGGGCCCGGATTGCGAGGTTGGCGGGGGGGGGGAGAGAAAAACAGCGGCGCGCGCCCACTGTGTGCGCGTGCGCAGGAGCGCGAGCGCGCTCCCTGTCCCGCCAGGGGCCGCCCAGGGACCTCCTGTCGAGTTCTCTTCTCCGCGCCAGCTTCGACCGTGATTGGCTGCTGCGAAAACCCGTCGCTCGGATTGGCTGAGAGGCCTCTCTCCTCTCCGAGAGGCGGGGGCATTTAAAAAGTCGGCGGGCTCCTCAAAGGCTGAGAGCAGAAAGAAAAGCGAGCGCGCTGCTTAGGCAGCAGACGCCGCTACCGCGTCCTTTTTTCCTCAAAAGAGACGATGCTGCGGGGCGCCGGGGGGGGGCAAAAATGTCTCTCTCCGGCGCTCCCGCGGCCCAAGTCCTCGAGCTCGAGGCCGGGCAGGGCCTTTTGAGCTTTTGAGGTAATTCTGAGACTTTTCTACGTTGTAAGATACGGAGGGGAGCGTGGGTTATTTAGCTAATTTAATAGCCTATTCTCGCGGAGTAAGGGGAGCACCTGTGGTAATTTTAACCTTGGCGTGTATTCTTTAGAAGTAAAACGGCCAGCGGTGGCTGTAATATCTCAACGGTGTGTTATTTAAAAGGACGCCGATACCACAGGTCACTAAAGATAGTCTTTCCCTTAAGGAATAATGTAATTCTAGTCCAGGTGAATAAGAATTAAAATTAGTTTTAAAGGTAAAATTGCCTCGAGAGCTGACCTTGCTCTCAGGAATAAAGCAAATGCTTGGCGTCTGGGGTAATTTTAGCCAAGACTCGAGTTCTTAAGAGTAAAGTTTTGGGGGAACCTGGGGTAATTTCAGCCACGTCCTTTTAAAAGGACCAAACTACCATAGATGGATAAGAATTAAAATTCGTTTTAAAGGTAAAATTGCCTCGAGAGGTGACCTTGCTCTCAGGAATAAAGCGAATTCTTGGCGCCTGAGGTAATTTTAGGCAAAGACTCGGGTTCTCGGAGTAAAATTTTGGCGGAGCCCGAGTTAATTTCAGCCACCACAGCTGAATAAGAGTTAAAATTAGCTTCAAACTACCACAGGTGGATAAGAATTAAAATTCGTTTTAAAGGTAAAATGGACTCGGGGGCTGAGCTTGCTCTCAAGAATAAAGCAAATTCTTGGCGCCTGAGGTAATTTCAGCCATGTCCCATTAAAAAAGAGCAAACTATCATAGCTGAATAAAAATTAGCTTCAAACTACCATAGGTGGATAAGAATTAAAATTCGTTTTAACGGTAAAATAGACTCAGGGGCTGACCTTGCTCTCAGGAATAAAGCGAATTTTGGGCGCCTGAGGTAATTTTACCCAAGACTCGGATTCTCGGAGTCAAATTTTGGCGGAGCCTGAGGTAATTTCAGCCATGCTCCTTTAAAAAGGAGCAAACCAGCAAAGGCGAATAAGTTAAAATTAGCTTCGGAATAAAGTCAGAGGTAATTTCAGCCACGTCTTTGCAGGGCTAAAAGCATTTCAAGGAAGAAAAGGCGAAAGTTAATTAAAATTACTTCGGGGGCCAGGAGCTGATCTCACTCTCGGGAATAAAGATGAGGCAACTTTAGCCAGGCGCAGGTAAAAGGGGCTAAAGGCAGAATTTAGCTTAAAGGCAAAATTGCCCCAGTAGCTGGAGTTGCCCTGATTTTCTGGAATACACGCAACTCTGGGGACCTGAGGGAATGGTAGTCGAGGCGCAAATCCTTAAAACGGGTGCCGCGACTTTTTTTTTTTTTCCCCATTACTGAGCTGGGTGGGCGTGGCCTCCGTATGACGTCACCGGCTTGCGGGCCGGCCTTTTGACACCCGCTTGAAGGATTTGAGCCTTGGCTTGCTTGAATACACGCAACTCTGGGGATCTGAGGAAATGGTAGTTGAGCCTCAAATCCTTAAAACGGGTGCCGCGACTTTTTTTTTTTTTGCATTGCCGGAGCTGGGTGGGCGTGGCCTCCGTGTGACGCCACCGGCTTGCGGGCCGGCCTTTTGACACCCGCTTGAAGGATTTGAGCCTTGGCTTGCTTGAATACATGCAACTCTGGGGACCTGAGGAAATGGTAGTCGAGGCTCAAATCCTTACAACGGGTGCCGCGACTTTTTTTTTTTTTTTTTTGGCATTGACGAAGCTGGGTGGGCGTGGCCTCCGTATGACGCCACCGGCTTGCGGGCCGGCCTTTTGACACCCGCTTGAAGGATTTGAGCCTTGGCTTGCTTGAATACATGCAACTCTGGGGACCTGAGGAAATGGTAGTCGAGGCTCAAATCCTTAAAACAGGGGTGTCAAAGTGCCGGCCCACAAGCCGGTTGCATCATACGGAGGCCACGCCCACCCAGCTCCGGCAATGCAAAAAAAAACAAACCACGTTGCGACGTCACGGGACGTGGCAAGTGTGACACTTCTGCTCTAAAAGAAGGAAAACATGTAGAAGACCGCTAGTTGCTCGAGGGAACAATGTTACAAATCATTGTATCTTGCCTTCTTTCACACGTAGGGTAAAACACACAAAAGCCCCTTTGACTACTGATTGCTTTTCTAGCCTCTGAACATCCACTGGTCATTTGGTGATGTTGATTTTTTATTTTTATTTTCCAAGGCATGAATCCATGTAGACGAAGAAGAAGACATCAACAGTAAGACAGATGGTTTAATTCACTCCCTAGTATATCATGAAAGTGAGGAGGCCTAGCAAGTACTGTTTGCAACATGTTAACTACTGCAAAAATCTTTGGGCCTTGCTAAAGTTTACCTTAAGGCTTGCTTTAGCAGTTTAAAAAAAACATTACAAAGTATCAAGGGTAAAAAGAACAATCACAAGTTTGACAAACATGCCTAAAAAGTAGCAAAAAAAAGAAATTGACTCAAGACAATTTTAGCTATTGGCTGTGGTTCTTAGAACCAGACAGCTACCAGCCTCCTCCAGTGCCTGAGTTGGCTCAGCCAATTTCACTGTATACATGTTATCCTTTGATAATAAAGAGTTTATTATTATTATTTATTAGTAGTACCAGCCAGACTTCTTAGAACCAAAAGTAAACCTGATGATGCAATTTAATATGAGGAATACCAATAAAGGAGAATATTTGTGGCTCACGATTGAAATGAGGCATCATTGCTGCTCTCTGAGCTTGGCGGTTTTCTTGTAGACCAGGCATGTCCAAACTCGCGACGTCACATGACGTCATTTGTGCAATGTATCGGGCAGGTTTTGCCCTTGCTGGCAATGGGGTGGGCGTGGCCTGTGGGCCGGCAGTTTGACACCCCTGTTGTAGATGTTTTTTTATCAAACTAGGGAACATCATCAGTGCTTGGAGTGCAGTTTGCTCCCAGTTTAGGTTCTAGTGGCTCAGTGTTGGTGAAAATAATCTTGGAGGTTCTTTGTTGCGCTATTTGTTATTAGCTCCTTTGGCAGCTCCTTGATTAGGGTATTGTTTATTTCTTGATTGTTGGTCTGGAAATTTAGCCCTAGCAATGGTTCATAGAACCAAAAAGAAAACTTCAATGGCCCTTTTTAATGTTAGGTGTGGCCATTGACCTGTAAAAGATGTTATAGTTTTCTAGCTTTGCAGACTGAGCAGACAAAGTGCACTCTTCTGCCGAATATTCTTCCAAAGAGACAACGTTGCTAGGCACGACTGAGGAAGAAACAAACGAGAAAGAAGAAGAAGAGCAAGAAAATGTCTCCAGCTCAAGCCCTCTTAGTCTTCGGCTGTGATGGCGCCCTCTACGCTGAGAGGTATGTTTAGTTGAGTCTTGTATTCTTTAAAGCTTTAGGACAGGGGTCTTCAAACTGGCCCTTTTATGACTTGTGGACTTCAACTCCCAGAATTCCTCAGCCAGTGCTGGGAGTTGAAGTCCACAAGTCATAAAAGGGCCAGATTTGGAGACCCCTGCTTTAGGATATGGAGGGAGGTGGATGGTCTTCCACTAATTATGCCTAGGTAAGCAAGGGTAACACCTGTGTCTGGGGTAATAGTAACCACTGTGTATTGTGCATTCTTAGGAGTAAAACCCCAATTCCAACTGAAGTAATGTTGACTTTCAAAGGCACGAATCCAAAATGACCTGTAGACGAAGAAGAAGACATCAACAGTAAGACAGATGGTTTAATTCACTCTTCGGTGTATCATGAAAGTGAGGAAGCCTGGCCAGTACTGTTTGGGCCTTGCTGAAATTTACCCTAAGGCAGTGGTGACGAACCTATGGCACGTGGGACAGAGGTGGCACTCTGAGCCCTCTCTATGGGCACGCGCGCCATCGCCCCAGCCCCACCTCCCCCCGCGGCCCCCTCTTCACCAGCAGACCCCCGGAGGAGAATCACCCCTGGGTGTGGCCCGTGCGCAGCAGCCCAGCCAAGGACATGGCAGCCAGGCAGTGGGGACAAGACTCCGCCCTTGCACCCTGTCGCGTGCAGATGATGCTGTGGGGCACAGGCGGAAGGCGTGGCTGCCAAGGCACTGCAGGACCGCCTGGGAGATCTGCGACGGGCCATGGAGGCGGTAGGTGGCCCTGCGGGATGGCACAGTGGGACGGGGAGGCAGGCAGGCGGGAGCAAGGGCAGGGCGGTTTTTGGACACTCTAAAAGATCTAAAAGGTTTGCCATCACTGCCCTAAGGCTTGCTTTAGCAGTTTTAAAAAAATGGTCTTTGTTGTTAGCTTCTTTGGCAGTTCCTTGCTTCGGGCATTGTTTACTTCTTGATTGTTGGTCTGATGTTAATCATAGTATTAATCTATGCATATCTCAGTATGGATTGCTGGTGAGGAGGTGTTATCTTTTTTGCAAAGTGGGTACATATTGTTTCTGTCTGTCTATTGATGGCTAATTTGTCAGAGTGACAGGCTCCTAGAAATTTATTAGTGTTTTTGGACATTGCTTGGTCTAGGACGGGGTAGGCATCCTTGGCTCTTTTATGACTTGTGGACTTCAACTCCCAAAATTCTGGGAGTTGAAGTCCACGAGTCAAAAGACCCAAGGTTGCCTACCCCTGGTCTAGGATAGTCAGTTTCCCAATTGGAACTATGGTTAGGTCTTTGAATTTGTTGT